TCTTATCACATTTGGAAATCTATACCCTATCTCAATGAAGCAGTTCAGAGTAGTACGAGTAATTTCAATGTAAAAAAAATACAACTAAAAGATTTTTTTTTCCAAAAAAATCATTGTTGAGTCACCAAACTCTGAAAAGGCATCGCGTTATTTTTATCTGACAAGGTATCAAGAGATGCAAACTTTTTCGGCACATAAAAATTCAAGAAAACAAACAAGTTTTGTCTAGTGGAAGCAATTTTATTAAAGATCAATTTTACTTTTTTCGGTGAAATTTCAGTTTCCCCGATATTTTGATTGTAATCCGTTAAACTCAGATGTATATTCAAATACTTTTTGAGTATATAATGAGCGTAGCGTGAATCAATTTGCATATCGCAATTTTTCTGTAGATTTTGTTAGCTCGGAACTTATGAACAGATTAAAAGAGCAACTCTTGATTTGGTAAGAAGCGATACTGTTTTTTGTTAAAATTTCGATTAAGTTTGAAGTAATTGAAAGCTTAAAAATCATTTCACTCTCCAATTCCTGTTTTGTTAGGCTCATCTTGATTCACCGTAGAAAAACTTTTTTATTCAGGATAATGGTATAAGTTTTGACCTAAGACTTATAAAATTGTTCATGTTTACTCAGGCCTGATACAATACTTGAATTAGTTAAAAAACATCAAAAAAATGAATGGCAGCTTAAAAGCTTTGCGAAGATTGCACAAGTTCTCCCTATTTGGAAAAGAATAAATTTACGCTTTCTTTTCTTCACATTGTCTCCAATAACCGCACAACTTTGATTTGATATGAAAAAAAACGTATTGGTTGATTTATGTCCACATATACATAAGCAGTTAGATTTCGCTGCTGCACTTGTTTCGCATACAGTTCCTTAATTTTGGTAAAATACCGGATTTATTGTAAGCTTTGATGTAAAAGAAGGATGAAGTCTCTGCTCAACTCCAGTTTTCTCATATTTAACATTTCTTTCGAATCCACAACAACAATGGTTTATCATTCCGGACAATGGGCAATGAAGATAATAAATAACAAAGGTTCATATAGTTTTACATGTCAGACCAAGCGTGATATATCAATCGCATGGATTGAGTGACGTCAGAAAACATTGACTTGGAGCTGAAACTGTCTGCAAATACTTTACAACTTTAAACTCAGACAAATTTGTTATGTATAACAGTCACAATGAAATTGCATTTTTCGTCTCCGAAACTGAAACGGAAACTGGATTTAAAGTAAAAAAGCAATAATCAGATTTTTTTTTCGAAACGCAAGTTTCAAAATTATTGATTCAAAATTTTTCCAAAACTACAGGGGTATTTCTGCTAATGCTAATAATGATTCCATCTGTTAGCTCATTTGAAAAAAAAATTCGTCGCTGCGTGTTTGTCGGTCTTACTGTTTTTTTTTTCAACAATTTTTCCGCTTTGACGTAGCCTTTAAGTCCAAGCTGTTTCTTTCATCTAAATCTTCGAACCTACCAAGTAATCATTGGAAACGAAAGTTTGCTTCGGCTTCTGCTTGACCTTCCAAAATTCATGTTTGATAAAAAAAGTTCCCATAAACTTTGCTTCAAATAAATCCCGATTAGGATAGTTATAAGCTTTAAGGTAAAATCTTACTTCGTCTCACATTTAACTGATAGGTGTATTTGATAACTGCTCTTTTTTCTAATACATTTAATTTGGTTGTCTTCCTGCATTTTTATCAGTAACGGTCCAGACTTTTCCGGTGCGGCTCTTTTATACGAAGTTCATAGATAAGGATAGAAACGAGTGTCACATTTTCCTATTTCGCTTTGATCAATAATTGAAGAAATGTGTCTCTATCTCAATAAGGTTGGTGAGATCATTTTGAAGTGCTGGCATAAAAATCGCAGTACAGAAAATGAAGTTCCCACATTTTTCTCTTCAAAGTGTCGACTTGCTTTAAAGTTATATGCTTTCTCATCTAGTGAAAATTTTTATATGCTGAGATGTTTCTTCATAGTACTGACATGAGTTGTACAAAAGTTTTTGTCCTATTGAAAAAAATTTCAAGGGTCTTACAACTGAATGTTGACAATAGCATTTAATATGTTTATTAAACAGTCGAGTGCAAAAGACCTATAGTTTTCTTCCGGCTTCTGCTTGAAATTCCATTGTTCAATAAGGTCGATGAGATGTTTTTTTTGAAGTGCTGTCATAGGTATAGCAGTACAAAAAACGACTTCCCTGGCCTTTTTCTTCGAATTACCGATTTGCTGTTAAATTGTTAGCGTTCTATTCGTGTCGTTGCTTGTACATATTGGGCTGTTTTTTAAATAGTACTGACATGAATTTGTCTTATAAAAAACATTTGTCTTGCGGCATTACAACTGAGTGTTCAATTTTAACACTTGCTTTGTTTATCATTTTGTCGACTGCGAACGTTAAAAGTTTACTTCAGGCTTTTGCTTGACGTTCCAGTATTCCTTTATGTTTTCGAGAAACAAAATCTTGAAAGCTTCAATACTAAAGAATAACTTAAAGGTACTTGATTCGACTCTGGTCACCTTGAAGAGATATTTCGTAGAAAAATTCATGCTGCGAAAAGATAGGACAGATGAGCACTTTGGCAGAATAAATGTTTAGAGATGGTGATCTCATAAAATTTCGAATATTTAAATGGAAATTTTTGTCAATTTAGCCATAGCAAACAAAGATTTTAATGCATCAAGTATAGAAGTTTTCCGATGTACATTAAAAAGCTTGAGTGTGATGTAAACAACTAGTTTGAAAGCTGGTTAGGACATATTGTTGATTTTTTTAACTTTTTTTTAAAACTTAAATAAACCAATGAAAATGGTTTGGCAATTTTTTGACCTGAAAAACGCTTCTTCTTATTTGTTTTTGAATGGATTTTTGCGTAAAATTTTTATAGAAATGTTTTTATTTCAATAAGGTTGACGGAAATTTTTTTGAAGTGCTGGAATAAATATCGCAGTACAGAAAATGAAGTCCCCGTATTCGTCTCTTCAAAGTACTGATTTGCTTTAAAGTTAAATGCCTTCTCGTCGAGAAAAATTGTTTATATGCTGGGCTGTTTCGTGATAGTACTGACAAAAATGTACAGAAGTTTTTGTCCCAGAAAAAAACTTGCAATGGGCTTGTAATTGAGTGTTCAAAAAAGCACTTAATTTGTTTTTTAAACTTTCGAGTGCAAAACACCTATAGTTTTCTTCCGGCTTCTGCTTGACATCCATTGTTTATATTTGTGGTCTGAAAAAAATCGCATAATTCAATTCAAATGATTTCCGATTAGAGTAAACAATAACTTTGTCTTCCATTTAACTGATGTATCTATATTAAATTGGACCTAATGGTGCAGGCCAACCCGGCCCTGTAAACGACTTGCAAGTTCAGTGCGTGCGAAGCGATGTTGTACCTTAATATTCAAGATTTTCTAATTGTTTCTCGAAGTACTGTATCGCAGATAATAACTTATTTGGATCTTATTTATGCCAACCATGATAACAACCTTCCATGTTTATCTTTCTATTTTGATATACAAAAGGCATTTGATTCAGTGTCTCATCATTTACTGTTAAAAAACTCTGTGCCCTTGGCTTTGATTTTGATTTCATTAATCTGTTTACATCTTATCTTTATGACTTCTGGTGTCCCTCAGGGTAGCGTTCTGGGTCCTTCTTTTTGTTATTTATTGATGATCTTCCTGGTTAAATTGTTTATAGTGTTTATTTTTTATTTTGCGATGACTTAAAACTACATTCAAGATCATCGCCTAAAAAGATTCAACGTGATATTGACACACTTTCTGAATGGGCAAAGTTAAATGGACTTTCGTTTCATCCTTTATAAACCAAGAGTTTTGGCTATCCACAATACATTTTTACAATGGAATTAGAATTTGTCGAGGATATTAAAGACTTGGGCCTGATTATCAAAAACCAACTCAATTGGAATTCGTATATTGACCTTAAACTTGCCAAAAGCAACAAAACCTTTAATTTTCTACGGAGAAATGTGCCTTTTCAAGTTAAACAGCAACGTAAACTTTTACTCTATCGATCAATATAATTCTATCCGTGTTACTTTTTAGCTCCATTGCATGGTCACCTTCAAAACACAGCCTTCGCACACTCGAAAGTTTTCAAAAACGCGTTCTTAAATGGGTGTCAAAATCGAATGACTGTGACAAATGGCTACAGATGCTCAACATGCTAATACGTACTGATGTCAATTTGTTATGGAAAATTTGGCACAAAAACAGTCGACATCAAGGTTGAATTGGAATTGATTAAGTCCACAAACTCTACTTGTTCTGCTAGTACAAATCAGTTTGCATTTAAACATACAAGACGATTCAAATCTGACAACAACTTCTTCATCAGTTGTCCGTACTGCAAACGAACTTATAAAACTGAATGTCTTAAGCTTTGAATCTACCCTACCCTTTTTCTCAAGAGACCTTAAAAACTATCTGGTTCAAAAACGAGCTTCTTTTAACCTAAACAATTCGTGTACTTTCTTTGTTAAATGTTTTTGTTTAAATTGCCGATCATAATTTGCTAGCATTTTGTTCTGAATTTTTGCATTCTTTGATCTATACATTCCATCTAGTATATATTTTACTTCCTCAGCTGTGAATTCAAGTGAATATAGCTTAGGTGGCTTAAGATAGTTTTACCTTCATAGTTAAGGTAAAATTTTACAGGTAAACTTGGGGTGACTTGAAGTAAAATTTAAAACAGTTCCCCACAATTTTCAAGGTAAACTTGAGACGAATTAAGGTAGTGGATGAGGTGGCTTGAAGTAAGGTTAGAGTGAGCACTTTTTGCTTTATCTGCTGATTTAACTTATGGTAATTTTTAAGGTAACTTTGTCAACTTTTTCAGCGAGATGAATTTGGGGACTTTGACATTACTAAGTTTTCTTTGCTTATTGAATTTTTCAATAAATTGGAATTCATTTTATGTTCACATGAGTTATTCCGAGTAAAATTGAGATAGAGTGAAAAAAATTTTCTTTCAAAGCTACATCATATTAGACAATTCTTTTAAAAATTTCATCAAGTCACAAATGAAAAATTTAGGCCACTGAAATTGACAGCTGCTGGATATCTGCAGACTTGCTATCTGCCCCATACATTGAAATACGCCTTCTGCCACTGCGGCAGATAATCCATCAGAGGTTCTAAAACAAGAGAAACTAATTTTCGTCACATATCGGGAAAAACATCGTTTCTTTCTTCAAAGTTTTTTTTTCGGTCAAAAACTGGATAATTACATTTTTTTGAATATTTTCTGTAGAAACATGCATTATTTAAAATAATTTTACAAGCATTCTGCGCACGATCCAATGTACCAATTCATAAGCAAAAAGTTGATTATATTTTCAAGACTTCTTTGTATTTTAACAAGCCATTTTCAAGCCAGTTGTAGAACAAGCACCCTATTTTAGTAGATTTTTTTGACTCTCAGTCATGGCTAGGAATGACGAGGGCACATCAGTTCCATCTAACCGAGCAGCTTGTCATTCAAAGCACAGTCTTAAAATTTATACTCACTCAGAATGATGTAGCTACCAGGAATACAAGAAGTGATGACCAGAAAGGCGGCAGTCAAGTTCTGTCTGAACAAAAAACGAGAAAACTCAAAGTAAAACTAAGTGAGCAGAACACAGGAAAGCAAATCTATTTTGGACGTGACTTTTCAATTCAAAATACACTCAGTACTAGCGCATTTCAGCCATAGGATGCATAGATGACACGAAAAGAGCCATTAAGTCAGCTTACTCGCATATGTTTTCGTAGAAGGGAGACCTCAGCATGTAGAGTAGCATGAGGGTTGTTCTTCTCTTCAGTTCCTTCCTCTCTCCCTCGGACGCCAGCTGACCACAAGTCTCCTTCCGCACATGCAGCCCAAAGTCATGCAGAATCAGGCTGAACATTGAGTACACATTACGTATGAAAAAAGTTAAACACCTGTAATGCCAATTTCGTACCCAACAATTAGTCTTCAGGTCAAATAAATTTAAATTCAGGTGAAGGCAAAACATAAGCTGGCTACCTGCTTTATACAAGTCCCTAAAAAACCTCCAACATGAAAAAAGATCTGTAGCAGTATTAAGTATAAAGAAATCTGGTTTCATTGAGAGAACCGGGTGAATTAGGAAAAAAGTGATATGACTGCTTCTATTTCTAACCTTGACATTTCGGTGACAAATGAGACAAACCACGGTTTGTATGAGTCACCTCCAGATATGTAGCGAGACGCTAGAAACATGATTGGACGAGACAGGTAAAGGGCTTCGGCCGCGTACTGATACGTGTTCAAAGCTGGCTCATCGCCCGGACTTGTTGATAACTTTTTGGTTTTCCGTTCCATAGGATGTTTCTGGTCAACATTTAATTTCCAGGTTCTGGTTTTCTCTTTTGCCGCTAGAAGAGAAATAATAAGCATGTTCCTTAAAAAGAAAACAACACAAAAAATTCGAAGGAATGTCTACATATCGGTAGCTTTTTCGCGGCTCAATTAGTTGTCAAAAATTATCTCTTTAATAACTCTTCATAGTCAAGACATTTACAGTATCTACAAATACACAAGTAGTATAATTTTGCTCCAATCAGGGGGGTCCCTGTCAATCCTCCATGTACAAGGATAGCTTCACTTGCCTTATCATGGGAGTTGACCTGAGTTGACGTTCTGCGCAAAAAAGTTTATGCATACAATTAATAAATAATCAATTCCAGTATAAAAAATACTTAACCTTCCTTCTTTAGTTTATGCGGATCTGATTCGATACGCATAATATCGAATCTAGCCAATCGGAAGTTTCTATTTTTCATTTAGAGAGATCCAAAAGCACTACAATTTTTCCTGCTTTGTTTTTCACAGAGGCACAGGAAAGATTCGGAAGTAGTAGCAAACCTTCTGGAACCAGCTGAATGTGAGTACAAAAATGAATCATCCAAAAATGGAAAAAAATTGGAACAATGTATTAGTTAACACAGAGGCGAAGTTGCGCTTCGCAAACACTAGCGAGAACATGACAAAAAACAGCTCTTTAAACTGCAATAAGAAAAAGGTATAAATAAGCTTCAAATTAGTGAAAAGAATCGGCTACGTCTCGGATTCGATCTGCAACTAGAGATGAGTCTCTCACATTAACCACGTTTAAAAAATTATTAAGCCACAAATAAAGCAAAAGCGTGATTAAAGCAAAAGCGCCAAAAAAATAAGTGACAATTTTTTATGAACACTTTTTTTGCGCATTAGGTTAGAACAAAAAATTCGTACTACTACACGGACGCTCGCAGTATAATCATAAAAATATCTCAAAATTCGGCAGCCCTTGAATACTTCTGACCCTTCATTCACTTTATATGTTCATTTATGAATCGAATCGTCGATACATTGCCATAAATAACTCAAGGGGCAATAAAAACAATTAATAATATTAATAATAATAATAATAATAAGAAATTGTTTTCATATCATAGATTTCTCAGCAGACAGGGTTTAATTAGCTGTGCTGTCGTTAGTAGGTCACGTTATCGGTAGAGCAACCCACAGAAAATATTCATTTTTTGACAAGAAAGTTAATATGAAATTTGAAATATAATTCTGAGCCCATGTGAATGCCCAAATATTTAGTATAGAGCCCCTTTTTAACATCATCGGTTCCTTTTTTATTTTGTCTGTTCCTGTGGTTATTTTTCTAGTAAAATTTATGTTTAGGTTCAGAGTAAGCTTATTGATTTTCAACCAATTTCTTATTTTGATAGATCCTCATTGTATTGGTGTAAGTTTTGATTTTTTTTGCTTCACTGCCGTATCATCAGCGTATAAATATATGTTCACTGAGTTTGTAATCAGTGGTAAATCATTTATCAATTAAATGAACAGTAGTGGCCCGAGCACTGATTGCTGTGAAACTCCAGAGTGAATAGTTTTCAATTTCGACAATTTCCAGCCTATTTTGACTACTCTTGATCTATTTTTCAAATATGACTTCAACAATGCCTGTATGGGTACTCGTTGTTCGCAGTTCTACCTTGTAAATCACAAAATTAGGCTAAATTTTGACGTATCTATTGCGTGAAACAGCCCAGTAGCAAAAAGAATTTAAGCAACGAGGCAAGTAATTTTTATAGAAATCTGATACAGCAATATTTTGCCTGAACAATATTTACAAACAAAAGCGAAGCTGCACGCTTCGAAAACATGAGCATATTAAATGCAAAAAGGGACGTAAAAATAGCAAACAAACAATTGGAAAAGTGCCAATGAACTCAAATAAAACAAAGAAATTCGGGAAACTGAAGTTTTCCCAAATAAAAAACAAAAAATCAACACGACCTATGTAAGTGTCAAGAAAAAAAGCCAACCACAGGAGTCAAACTGCGGATTTTCAGATTAGCAAGTACACAATTTCCTGGCTGAACCAACTGTCCTAGCTGCCTAACAGACTTTACATATCATCTAATGGTAAATACTGAGCCCCTAATAAAGCGAACAAAATGCTGGCTACTAATTCACTCGCCATATAAATTGAGCATAAAAGTTGAGAACAAATCTGAACGAGAATGGCTGGAAAAAAAAACTGGTAGGAAAAAGTAAAATCGTTTGTTTGTGTAAATGAGCAGACCGAAATTGGCGCTAACCATCTTTCTTGCCTCTTAATTTTTCTGAAATATGTTTTTTTCCCGAAATTCTTGAAGATATCATATAAACAAAACTGTGCCCACAGGCAAACAACTACGCAAACCTTAACAAAATTGAGCTTTACAAAATTTAAAAAAGGAAAATTACCTTGACAGAAATAGTAGCCTTGGCAAAAATTTCGGATTAGAGGGGATCGATTTCATAAAATATCATTTTTCAGGTGAACAAAGTATCATTAGACCAGTCACACCTAAAAACTCTCATTTACACTCAAGCTTGATTTAGATAAATAATAACCTAAATGGACATCTTTCAAAAATCGGAGATACAATTTATTACTTTCAAGGTATCTGAATTTCAAGAAAAAATTCATGATTGACAATTTTTTCTGGGTAAAATAAACCCAATTAGAGAAAAATGGTTCAATGAGTCCTATTTTTTTCTGCTGGGAATTCTGAAAACGGCAAACCTTCGAGGCAACGATCGCCCAAGCAAAAAACTTGAAAAAAGATTCTTTTTTTTTTCAAAAAATTTTCTCGACACTCATATCAAAAAATCATCGGCCAATTAAACATTTTGATATGGCGAAATCGATCTTACCACCAATAGACTTTGAGTTCTCTGTCCTCACATCTGTTCCACGGGCCCTCAACAATTTACTAATACGAACCACAAAAAAGCCAAGGCTAAGAAATTGCCAAAGCTATGCAGCAAAAATGGCACTAGGTATAAATAGGCACATATTGTTCATGTAATAATTAATTTTGAATGTAAAAAATTGGAAATTATGAAGCTAAATTATGAATAAATTATGCATTTCAAAAAATGCCAGACATACTGAGTGGGAAAGTTTTTGAAATCTAATTATTATTATTGCACTGTTGTTTGAAACAAATAATTTTTTCGGTCCATTTGATGAATCATAAATGCATCAACTGTGCTAATTTATTACTTATCGAATGTCAAAGCACATGCTACCAAATACCGCAAAAATGCCTAAAAGAAGCACCAATATTTGCGGCTTAGGTTGGAAAAAAAGAATAGTCGTACAATTACACTACGCTCGCTAAAGCTCGCAAGTGTAATGACCAGGAAACATTAAGACAATATAAACTTAAAACTATTAGCTATCATAAAACACAAGGGCGAACTTGCACTTCACATATACAATCAAAAATATGACCAATAACTCTACGGGGAAAAACTGAATGAAAAAAACTTTGAGTCTAAAAAGTTTCTTAAGTGACGCACGCCAATTATGAGTCTACATAATTGCTAAATGAAACAAGCCAATTATGACGCATTAGCTGTACCAGTCAATTTCAAAAAAAAGTAATTTACCAGCTAACATACCTCAATATAATGAGCGGACGCATTTTAACTAGTATACGAAAAAGTTCATTAAAAACATCCGACCCTGCCCACGTTCGAACCCTTTTTTTGTTGCGGGTCTCCTTCTCTACCTCTACGCTACAGATCCATGATACCTGGAAACTAAAGTGCTATTTGTAATATAACAGTCTGTGTTAATATCCTTAGCATTGGCTGCACTGAATAGCTGATTATTGATCAAAGTGAGCACTTTCAAAAAGAACACATTTAGTTGCAACAATATTTGTGTCACAACAATATCAGCGACTATGGTTGGATAAAAGAGACTTCATACTATAACACAAGCTTTGCTTGTGTAACTAGCTGAAAACCAGTTAAAAAGTCGGAATAGTTAGGGCTGATACGAAAACTCAGGGCTCCCGTCGCAAAAAAAAGTAAGATAATCGTTAAGAAATACTCTCACCTCCAGCTATGGTGCGTATTCTGATTTTGGATCTGGGCATAGTCAGAATCTCATGTTCGCTTCTCTGGGAATGATCGTCAGCAACAGTTTCTGGTCTCTCGTCTCCGTCAGAATTGAAATCCTGATTCGATCCACATTTGATTCTTGGGTACAGTTTCTGATTAAAACAGTGATAGCCATGTAAAAGCAAAAGAAACTTTAATATCTGTTTGGCATACTAGAAGACAAAGAAAACATGATTTGCACCTTTATACAAAATAAGATCGCATATTAAAAGTTTGTTGATTTTGGCTACTTACCTTGTTCTGACCATTATGAAAGATTCGAAAGGAACTATGAACTAGGGTGGGTTTTCCCTAATTCAAAAAAGATTGTTTCACATCGAGTGTAGTACAATTTGAAGTTGCTTAAATTCAGGACTATTTCATATAAAACGCTCGATGTCGAGAAAAACGGTCTGATAACTTTTGATTTTCAGACGATTTTTTTATCACAGCGTAACAAATAAAGATTTTTTAACTGGTCCTCACTGGCTCCAATAGTAGGAACAATCCGATTGCAAACTTGACAGCCTCTATGACTGCAATGAAAGTCCATCTGAGATTGTCACCCGAAACAGCCTCCGAGACGCTCACTTCGAAGAACACCTCAAAACACTCCAGAGCAGACAGCGCCATCTTAAGCGACTTGAACAGTCTGTTGTTCTGAAAAAAAATAACTGAAAAATTAAAAGTAATATTGCTTCTCAGTGATCTTGAAAGTCCAGATTTACTCTCTCTTTAAGCAATTTGAGACCGAGAGAATCAATTTATTTAAGAGTTTGAACCATGAAAATGGGGGTTAAAATGAAAACACCTGGGGGTTAAAATGAAATGGGGGTTCAAAAAAATAAATTGGAATTATTTCTAAGTGAAATATTACTTACGTATAAAGATTTATACAAGGCATGTGGGTTTGAAATTTGGGAGAGAAGATTGTTGATCAAACTAGAAGCCGAATACACTAAAACGAAATGAAGAACGAGTAAAGATACTTTTCAGTTTTAAAAACATTTTACATAGATTTATGATCACTAACTTAGCTCTGATATAGGACGAGCGCCGGCGAACTGCTTGCCTGAAAATATACGTAAGTTGTCATGAAAAAAAAGAGAAAATAATTACTTAATCTTGCGCCAAAACAACAAATTCAGAGCGAATATGATTTCAATTTTATGAATTTACATCTTCAAATTGAAAAATGGTTGATTCATGGTCCAAAGAGCCTCGGGTAAAATATTTTGGATCAGCAAACGGGCGTATTTGTTTCGACCATGAGCTTGAAACGAGCTGTGCAATCGGGTGCTTTTTCACATCTCAAATCTAATTGCCACATAAAAACGTCAGTTCAGACAAGCAAGACATGACGATTACAGCTAACAAAACTTCTCATATTTTATCACAAGGGAATATCCAGAGATTCGACTCTTTCAAAACCCAAAAGGAGCTTTCAAGTGCTTAATCATCAGAGAGGGGGTGTAACTATCGATACAAAAGGCCTTATCACTTCTAGGTGCATACGTGAATAATGTTTTTGTTTTTTCATTTTGCACATTTTTAAACATATTTTGATATTTTCTTCAATGCGTGAACAAGTAAACATTTATACAAAAAAGCAATATTTTTGGATTTTTCTTTTTGAAATTTTGTCATTCGTACTGGGGTAGGAAGCGACAAAGAAGGTTGAACTAACAATTGGCTGAAACAAACCAATAAGGGCTTTATTAAGGAGCAATTTATGTATTAAACAAGTTTTGCTCAAAAAGCGCCAATACGAAAAAGGACTCCTCACTTAACTCGTCTTAAAAGGAAAAACTCCATACGCTTTAATATGATATACAACTCGATTGATATGCTTTTTATTTGTAGCACCTGCTTTTGCATGCAAAACAATAGAGAAGTATTTTCCCAATTGTAGTCGGAGCAATTATTTTTCGGCCGAATGAAAACGCAGATTGCATGACTATGCTATTTGCATTGAGCTTGACTGCTTTTATCGTTCTGACGAAGAAATAGCTAGTTTTCCCCGCCCATTTAAGGTTAAAAATTCAATGGTGAATCCAGCTAAATTAGGGATCCAGCTATTCAGCTTGAATCTGTCACCTTTTGTAATAGATCATCTCTCGGCTTTCAGTCTAAACAGCACAAAGTGAAGAGGGCGTCCTTATCAAATTTTTTGCGTTATTCTACTCTCAGCGATATTAACGTTATTTTGGCAGCCATTACCTCCTACTCTTGAAATTGGCTATTTACTTCAGTCACAAAGTAAATAATAAGCGTGGCTAAATAAAATCTTTTGACCGACTCAAGAGAGCTCCGAACATACTTTTTCAAAAATAGCGTTTTATATTTAATTGAGCAAAAAATTGGATTTTTGTATTTTTACAAGCAAAATCAGGTACAACAAAAAATTCGTAAGAAGTTGACTGATATATCATAATTAAACCATTTCGATCTTGACTCCAGTTGCAAGGAGTAAGTTCTAAAAAAAATACATGCTTCAAAACAAACTACGACTTGAAACAGAATAGTGGGTTGCCGGGCAAACACCACAAAAGCTTCCGATCACATTGAATTTAACAAGAAAAACATATTTAAAAAGGGAACAAAATAAACATAACTTCAAAAATGAATAACCAGTTGCCGGACAAAAACTAGAAGAAACTTCCGACCAGTGATTCTTGCTAAAAAATTATCTAGAAGGCAACAGTTTGTTTCCTTTTTTTTCTCTCAGATTTTGTCATGTTTCATGTGAGGAAGAAACTTGAAACGCACTAAACCAAACAAAGCAAAATTGGCTTGTAAATTACGTTACTCCTTAATAAAGCAACAATTTATTAAGGAGTAATTAATATTTATAAAATTTGTTGCTTAAAAAGACCCAATAAGAAAAGTCCATCTTCACTCAACTCAACTAAAAAATTCAGTTCTCTTTTCTCGACATCGAGAAAAAAAATTTACTCTTTAAATGGGTTTTAGGAAATTAGACGACAAGTAAACTGAACGATCAGAAAATAACGGAATTTAGACAATAACTTGCGTCAAATTGCATGAAATTTGTTAACAGACTTAAATTAACTTTTGGCTGAGTAAATACTGGTTGTCCGTAAAGTCCGCTTATTTACGGTCGTCTAATTTCTTGTTGTCTAATTTCCTAGGCCCCCTTTAAATGAATTTAGAATCACCATTGAAAACGCTTCAATAAACATCACTCTAATCCATCTGATATTTATTTGTAGTACCTGCTTTTGAATGGAAAAAACCAAAACACCCCAAAAAGTTGGTTACCAATAAGTGATCGGAGCAACTACAATATTCAGGCCAAATTAAAACTAAGAGCACACGACAGAGTTGAAAACCTGCGCTAATTGTCTTGAACATGACTGCTTTTATTGTTCTGAACAATTCTTAGTGTTGCTTTTTTCCGCCCGATTTTAGGTACCTCGTAACATTTTTTAGGTTTTAGGTAACTCACAGATGATTAAGTGTGATATCATTTAACGACGCTATTGATAATACTAATATTTCATTAAAACTTGATTTGTTTCAAATGCTGCCTCAAAAAGTGTTGAAAAAAGTTGATCATGACATTTTCGGCTTTCAGACTAATTAACAAAAAATTGAGAGGATACTTTCCCACCAGCGTAATTCGTCTTTCAGCATTGATAAAAATACTTAAGAGACTGTTATCTCTGAATGTTGCAGTTTTCAATTACTTCAGTCTCGTTTCAAACAAATAATCTGAACTTAAGAGAAAAAAATTTGAAGTAATTTTTTTTCGGTATTTATAATTTTTTTTCTATTTAGAAATTCTCCTCTCAAATCAATGAGATCTCAACATACTGTGCTACTTGCACAGCAACAGTCTATCCGTGTTCATACGTTGGATTCCGTAGGTCTTCGTCTATTTGAGAAGTTGAACTAGTATCAATATGTTTTTTTTTCCAGAATTTCGTCCCCTGCAAAACTTACGGTTTGCGTCAATCCAAAGCTATTATTTGAAAAAAATTGCGTCTCATTCGTGAGTTCTTTGAAACATTTAGCTTGTTCCGATCAGCATTGGAAGCATTTTTAAACTACTTACGGGTTACGTAGACAAATAGAACAGGCACAGTTTTTCAAATGCCCAATTTTAGTGACAAAACCACAGAACTACAAAGAAAAACCGTACGAACTCGAAGGATATATTTAAGCCCTCTGAGTCGTGATTTGAATGGCAATAGAAAGTTTCGGAAAATTTAGAAAACCAAAATGGTAACTCTCTATTCGGAACTTTTTGTATTACTAAATGCACAGATTCCGGTTACTCATGTGTGCCTTCACATATCAGCAGTTGTGTCGGCTAAATGCACTCACGGGCTAAAAAGTACGATAGAAGGCGGAGTGTAGACTCCACTCGTGAACACATTTTTTGATTAGCCCCGATCCAGTTGATCACGTCACTAGCCGACGGCATTGCTGACGTCATTGCCAAACAAAATTCAAGAGGCGATGAATGACAAATAATCGCAATTATTGAAGCCTTCAAGAATGCCTGCTGTTTTCAGTTTCCAAAAGGAGGTTCCGATAGCAAACTTTAATTTGCTGAGCCACAATTGTCAAGTAGAATAGAATATTATCCTATCACTCACTGATCAATAAATTTCCCACTGCAATTTTACATTTTTCATAACTTAATTATCTGAAACACATAATCACTTGATTTGCTCGCTTTTTCAGGGTTTGTTATCTAAAATCGTTCACTCAAAGGGCGTGCAATTTTTCCAATAATTATTTAGGCGAACTTCAATGGTAATTCCCGCAACGAAGCAACTGATTTTAAAACAAAGTGAAAATTTAAGTTGCGTGTCATTTTGCCCAGTCGACTTGTCCAGCCCAATTTGTCCTACTCCGACAGGTCATTTATGACAACTTATCCTATGCCACTTAGCCCCATATAAAAACAAAACTTGTCCCAAATTCTTTGACATACTCTTAGAACATAGGTTCAACAAATGCATGAAAAAATGAAACGACAAAAATTTGCATGGCAGCTCTAATGTTGAGTTACCTATATCAAAACATTGATTTTAGGCTCCAAAAGCTTGGATGACAGCGCACAAGACTCAAAAAGAGTTCGAGAAAGTGGAAAAATTGCAGGCATTGCATTACAAAACAGTCCGTACTGGGTACTTTAGTATGGGGGCGGGATTGAGAAATAGAGCAAAATTATTGCAGTATTGGCCGCTATCACCGCGCAAACAACGGAACCTCGGCGATGGCTATACATTAAAAAAGTGATAACTGTGCGACGAAATGCCGAAACTTTGGATGAAAGTAAGCCAACAATATAAATTTCAGAAAAATTAAAATAGCTAGTCCAAACAAACAATCAACAAAATAGTTTTTGTCAAAATTACTGACACTGTTTCAAATTTTTTTCATGAAAACACGGAACATTTTTCCGACCCTGGTTCTGCGCTCACCCATTGCCTTCAGAATAACGACCTTCTTATTCGTACAGTCTCTATTGAAAAATATTACTCAGTTAAGTAGTAAAGGTGTAGAGGGTGGGGTGACTCCCTTCAAACAGTGTTGTCACTGAGAAGTAGCTAATACCAACGGCGTTTGCTGTTCGTATCAAACCTTCCGCTGCTTCTTGTGAATGTTCAGAATCTATGGAAATAATGGTTACTACTGTTTCCTCCAATATATTCGCCTTTGTGAAAACTCTTTTGGAAAAATTATACCAACTCGTCAATTTTATTTACAAACTAAAATGACTCAATTTATAGAGCGGACACATTTTAACTAGTATACGAAAAAGTTCTTTAAAACATCCGACCCTGCCCAGGTTCGAACCTTTTTTTTTGTTGCGGCTCTCCTTTTCTACCTCTACGCTACAGATCCATGATACTTTAAAGCTAAAGTGCTATTTGTACTATAATAGTCTGTTTTAATATCCTTGGCTGTACTTAATACTTGTAATAATATACTTTAAATAATCCTAAAAATATACTTTAAATCTAAATAAAAACAAAAGATAGTTAACTTTTATTACTAACTAACTTAGTGAGTCAGAATTGCACTTCAAATAGAATATTTTTCATTCTGTTAATTTAAATTTTATCGTACTCCTTAGTTCTTTTTAGATAATCGACACAATCACTAAACCCCAAATCGTAGTATTCAATTAGCACCTCTTTGCGGGGCGGAAACAGAGCGTGAACACCCCGTCTGATATTGTACGCACTCAAGTGAACAGGTAGTTTGTTCACGGTGAAGAGCAGCCGAGGCGAACCCTTCGTCTCGTTAGGGCTGATATCGGTGTTGCCGCTGAATGGAGATACTAAAACCGGGTGAATGTTACACAACTTGCGTCAAAAATTCAATCATCGTTTCTTCGCGTGTGTGGTCTGAACTAGGTGAAAAAATAGTTACGAATCAGCAATTAAAATATTTTTGTACTCAAGATGGACTAATTTTAAAATTCAGAAAACGCGAGGTCAAATTTGAATTCAGATAAACTCTGTTAAATAATAAAACATTTAACCAAAAAAATAGTCTTATTATTCAAAATAGTTACTCAAATTTGACTTACCTAGACATTTAACATGCTTCGATTCGTGAACCGAGTTTTAATAATTCACCTGATATAGTCGGTATGTCGTGGAAGAGCGGGAGGTTGTCCGTGAAGCCTCCGTCGATCATACGGGTCGTCCGGTGGATCCCATCTGAGTCCGGATGCTCTAGGGAGGGTGCATCTGATTTGGCATACATCGGGATATAACAAGAGGCAAGAAGACACTATAATTTTAAAAGACAATGAAATTGAAAAAGACTAGGCACACGCAAAATGCAGAGATAGAGTCCGAGAAAAAAACAATCCAAAAATTAATATTTCCGGGACATTTGTGTTCGAGACAAAATTATCGCAGTTCAAGTTACTCAATTTTATTAAAATTTAAGTTTGTTGTAGTTGCTGCGACATAGCCATTAAATGCTGAAACTCATGCGCTGACAAAAAAATCGCAAATTAAAGCTGAAAATTTTTGGGACACAAATGTCTGGGGATGTTTTGTCTAGGCATTTTTCACTCTTTCTGACAATTTAGCCTGCTCATGAATCTAAATACTAAGCAAAAAAAATACAGCGTTGTTGCGCAGTGGTAGAGCTGCTGTTTTAGGTCTAGCAGATCTACCTATCTAAAATTGTAAGATTCGAAACTGTTAATTAAAACTATAAGTGATACTGACTTGGATGAGATGGTCATTGGATGTATAGCTTGATGACACGATGTTCGATATTTTGGAGATGGACACTGCAGACGTGAGAGATACGAAGAGCCTGCCATCTGCCTTCACATAGGCATCTTCAGGCAAAGACTTTCTAAAAACGAACAGATCCACAAAGAAATGTCAAACGATCATAAAAAATTGAGAAACAAAAACAAAAACTATGTGCAGTAGAGATAAACACTTTTTTTGTAAAAAAAAAAAAACTAAACAATTTTTTGATTTTCAGTTCTGATGATGATAAAAAAATCGAAACGCGTCAAACTTTGATGTTTTTCTAAAAAACAATTTTTGATGAAATTTAAGATTCCAACCATGAACTTTCAGAGCCAATTTGAATAGTTCATAACTTAAAGTAAGGTTTTGTCTTTTGAGTCAAATAATCATGTTAACAAAGAAGTTGACCCAAGTTTTTAATCTCAGGAAATAATCGGCACCTCAGATAAGTCTCCAGGTCCATCATGATGTCGTAATCTCTGTTCAGAGGTCCCCTTTTGAGCTGGTTGATGTGTTCCCCTGTGGCTATTAGAAATGTCTTTGCGTCGTCTAGCTTTTCTGGTGCGACTGCCATAATACACGCAGCCAGCGAACCTGCCGAGGCCCCGGCATATCGGCTGATTTTATTGACCAGGCTAAAAAATTACTCGAATGGATCAGTAACTCCAAACCAATTCCCTTTCTTTGCCACAGGCAATTTATTGACAGAATTTCTCAAACTTATGCAATTTTTAAGGAACTAAGGCTTGAAAAAATTGAGGAAAACTTTTGGGGCTCTTCAAAAAACTTGTGGGAGCTCTTAAAGCTGTGATCAGAAAATTTTCAAGAAAACCAGGTTTGAAATTTTAATATACAGGTTAAATTACCGCTCGTGAAGTTTAAGCTAACAATATTTTCTACTTCAGTTTAATTTCAAACCACTATCTACATATCAGAAAACCTACCATGATGCAGTAGCGGATTTAGGGGGGGGGGCGGACGCCCCCCCCCCCACCCTCAGGGATTCGACCCCCATCCGATCGGTCCCCCCTTTGTGCTATTTTGAGATAACCATTTTTTGGCTGACTGACCTTAAATTTTTCTTAAGGCGCCTTTGGCGCCAATCTATACTAATTTTTGAAGGGGAGGGCGCGCCGAAAAAACGCGATTTTTTGGTCAAAATTTTCCAAAAAGTACCTAAAAACGCCTTTTTTGGCCTTTTTTCAAAAATTTGCCTCCGCAATATTCAGTTTACTTGCCTGTTTGCGTGTTTTTTGAGTGCAGCTATGACTCCGAAGTGGTAGATGCCGAGGAAGCCAGCCCCACTGAAGGAGATGCCCAAGGAGAGAGGACGTTGAATCATCTCCCACTCATCATATAGCCCAGGCACTACATCTTCAACATCATCAACAGCTGAAAAGACAAAACAAAACTCAATTGCTAATCAATGAAACAGGGACGTTTTTTCTCTTAGATCAAGTCATGACACCATAGAGCGACTTATAGTATTGATTCTAAAGAGACAATTAATGAACCGACCATGATTACATTCTTGTCTCATGATTTTTTCCGGAAAATCCACCCCCTTGCTTTAATCCTAGAATCACACCAGACCTCAAGTATAAATCAAAATCAGACAAATCAGACTCTCAACAGCTAAATATGCTTCGACTACAATTACATCAATTTTTTCGGAAAAAATTTTTGTATTAAAAAAATTTCGAGCACCAGCCCTAATTGTTTCGTATTATTATACATTTCGAATATTCAAAAAATTATAAACATTCCTATCTCCTCACTCGAAACTTTCCTCACTCCTCCCCTCCCTTAAAGGTCATAGTAACAGGCAACTATTTCAAAAAAAAATGTCAATACGAAATTCACAAAACTTAAAATATCAATAAATACACCTCAATTCAAAAGAAACGTTTTGAAGCTATATGAGAGTCATATACAGTTTTCCTGTCTGATATTTGTCTTCCTGCAATGTTGTTCTCGAGCTTTTTTGTTATTATTTAGCATATTTTAATATGTTTTCAGCGGTTAGGCATATTTTGCACTGAGGGATGCTTGAGTCAGACATACTCCTCTATATTCTATTCTCATCGATCGGAGCAAGTCAGATCCGGATTGGAAAAAGTTATTCTCTCTCTAATTTGATCAGTTAAATTACAGCTTGATTAACATTTCCAATCGTTGGTAGAATTATTTATCAATTTTTAATATTTAAATAGTTAATTAAATATAGGTTTGAGCTCCAGTTTAATGTTAAGGTGAATTACATAATCATTTATATCAAAATGGCTTATACCAAATCCATGACGTCAGGCAGGAACGTCACAATGAGTTTACTCTAAAATCCGAGTCTAGGGTCAATCAGCCACTTGCCTGGTCAAGTACCCTTTACTCTGTTCTGTTTCACTTCAACATATATACATACTACGCATTGAAATAACAGATATACAAATATACAAAAATCAGGACGAGATAGGCCAATGCTAAATTTTGATAAATCTTTCACTGAAAAACTTAAACATGGCAGGGTACCACAGCCCGCATTCAAACGAATAACAGATTTGATCAGTACACGTGGAAAGACAAAAATTTAAAAATCACAAGGCAAAAATTAACCAAAAATATATAAAGAGGTGAAGCGGATATAGAAAATAAGACGAAAACAACTGATTCGAAAAATATTTGAAAACGTCAGAAAAAATTGCATCTGCCAAAATTTCTATACGCGTGTCTATAACGAAGTTCAATTTGAAGCAAAAGCTTATAAAAAACGTCAGTAAAAAATCAAAATGGCTAATAACAAACTGATGACGTCAGGCAGGGAAGTCAAAATGAATTTATTCTGAAATCCGATTCAAGGTTGATCTGCCATTTGCCTGGTCAAGTACCCTCTTCTCTTTTCTGTTCCACTCCAACATACATACATCCTACGCATTAAAATAACCGATATAAAGATATACGAAAATCACGATGAGATAGCCCTATGATCAAACTCGCAAAATCTTTCGCTGGAAAACTTATATATGACAGGATACTGAAGCCCTCAATTAAACAAATAATAGAATTGATCAGTGCACACTGAAAGACAAAAATGAAAAAATTGAAAAGCAAAAACTAATCCAAAATATAGAAAGAGGTGAAGCAGATACGGAAAAATGAGTCGGAAACAACTGATTCGAAAATTATTCGAACAAAAAACGTCACAAAGAATGCATCAGCCAGCATTTCTATACGCGTGTTTAAAACGAAGTTCAATTTAAAGCAGAAATTCCCTGAAGCACAATTCACGGTGTAATATTAGCACTCAGGCAAAACTTACAAAAATGCAACTACGAAAGAGCAACTAAATCTTTGGAGCAAAAAGGAAATTATACCGGAGTAGGTTAAATTACAAATTACAGTAGTACATCAATGATTTTCCATTAGAATTAAATAGATTAAATCAGAAAAAAAGTAGACAAAACTTAGATGACTAACAACAGACCGACCGTAAAAGTTTTCCGGGAACAAGTTTCAACACAGAGGCGAAGCTTTGCTTCGTTAACACTTGCGAGAACACGGCAAAAATCAGCTTTATGAATTCAAATAAAAATTAGAAATAAGCCTCGAATTAGTGAAAATTCGGCTACCTCTGAAATTCGAACCTAGAGATTAAGAGTCTCACACAATAACCACTCAGCCAAGGAAGTTTAATATGCACCAAAAACCAGCCAAGAGTAAAGAGAGAAGAGATGCTAAATTAAGTTTACAAATGGGTGCAAAATTTTTTTGAACACTTTTATTTGCGAGTTAGTTTAGAAAAAAAAGAAGGTTCGTAATAATACACTAAGCTGATCGTAAGTAAAAAGAGCAGTTCAATTCCTAGAGTACACTGTCACTAAACAGAAGCGAATCTCCACTTCGCAAACAAGCAATAAAAACGCCAGGCAGTATCTTTAAAAAAGTTTAAAAAAGATTTAAAAAGATGCCAAAAAAATAATTAAATTTGAAAAAAAAAACTATTTACTTATACAAGAATTGAAACTTAGACATGAAAAATTTGATTGCCCCCATAAAATTGTGCCACTAAAGCTTGATGACTCCAACGACAAAAGACAGAGCGGCAAAAGAGAGCTGAAAAAACCACACAAGCACTATTTTGCAAGTATTACTTTGGAAAAAAATGGACTAAAGGCAGCATTCGATTTTGCATTCGATACATTGGAAAGTACCAAGCCAATTTTTTTTTAATAAGTTATGCACTTTACGAATTTTTCAAAATATACTGTGTTTAAAAGCTTCTAAAAAAAATCTTGTTTTTGTGCTGTTGTATGAAACAAACAAATAGCTTGCTTCGGTTTATTTCATGAACGAAATTGCATCAACTGAGTAAACTTAATAGTAATCAGATGTCATAACAAATTTCATTGAATAACCATTCCATCCCGCTAATTCAAAAGCGTCACTTACATTAGCTCTACTCTTCGCGACGAAAGTTGGAAACATGATTCATTGTGATTCATTGATTCTGTTAGACAACTTGTTAATCTCAAAAAAATACATATGCTCTGCTTTGATAAAACTTGCTAATCGCAAATATAAAAACCCGTAAATATTCCAAATAATTCATATGATCTGCATTGAAAAAACTTGCTAATCGCAAATATAAAACCCGTAAATATTGCAAATAATCCCGTAAATATTCAAACTCGTAAATATTTCAAAATCCCCCCCTTTCAAAATACCGAGTTTCATGTTTGTTCAACGTGCTATTATGGCTAAATGCGTGATGTTACGCTGTAATGTATGAAGAAAAAATCTGTTCAAAATTGTCAATTTGTTCACCGCGCCAAATTTCATTGCATTATGACGTTAAATAGACTTTTCAAAACTGAATTTGAAAGGGGGAACTGGAAAAGAGCCTGAAATAGGACACCAAAGGTAGAAACAAGCCTTGAAAATTAAAATTTCTGCTGCTGTGTATTCGATCCTACGACCAAGAGATTTGAAGTCTCCTGACCTCGCCTTTGCACCAATGGCCATTGACAATTTACTAACACTAGCAACAAATAAATCAGCTACATATGCTAATAAATTGCCAATGCGATGCAGCAAAAATGGCGCCAACTTTGCGTGTAATAAATTGAAATATAACAAACTGAAGTTATCCACACTTGCATGCAAAAAATTGGAATGCATAAAGCCAGATTATGTATAAATTATATTTATGTAGAGATAAATTGAGCCGGAAAATTTATGAAATTGAAATTTTATTTTTTTACTGTTATTTGAAACAAATAGCATTTTTCGGTTTATTTGATGAAAAAAAATCCATCAACTGTGTTTACTTATTACTAATCGAGTTTCAAAGCACATGCTAGCAAAAAACTGTAAAAGTGCCCCAAAAGTGAATTAAAATTTCGTCAATAGATTTACAAATTTCTGAATCACCATTAAGGTAACACAAGCTTTCTCCTTTTTAACAAACTTTACAATTAGGGAACTTTTAGCATACTTAGTATTCAAGCTCACTACTTTAACACAAAGTTCTCATTTTCAGCAAAAATTTTTCATAATTTTTACATTTTATATTATTTGATCCTATCATTTAACTTGCAAATTTCAAAACCAGTTTTTAAACATTATAAAACTAAACTGGGCATAGGAATAAACAATAAAATCTATTAAAGATTCAATGCAAGCAATGACTGTGATGCAATACTCACCTTCACTTTCTGATTTCTCGTTATCAGCAACATAATTTGATTTCTGACTAATTTCAAAGGTCATTAGAAAATAAGAGACGTGAAACAAAAAAAATTCCACGATAGCTCAAAAAAAAGAAAAAAATAAACATCACGTATAAGCGACTAGATGAGGAAAACGACGAAATAAGGTTACTGGATACCTTATGGCAACTCAAACACTTCTGCTGAAATAGGTCATCGCTAAAAGGCAAATACAATTTGGCATTGATCAGGAAACGAAACAAGCATACTAACAACTTCGGTAAGTGTAATAAGTAATAAATGGGTACTTCTTACATCAGTTTATTCAGTAGTTAGCAATTGCAGTGATGGAAAACAAAATGATACCAAAAAGAGCAAAAAAGTTAAAAAGAAAGAAGACGTCATCCGATTTCAGGTCATTGATTACAGGATATGAAACAACAGCCCCAATTTATTTTCATTGATCTATTCGGATGTTGTTCATAAAAGGAATGCCGCGGGTAATTTCTATCTCGACTTGTTTCACGTCAGTCAAATTGTGTGAGTGATTTATATCTCGTAAAACCTGACTTTATATCATAAGCAGATCGCAAACTAGATTAGATAAAAAAATTTCGTATTTATTTAAGGAAAACTAAAAGTCATCTTTGATGTCATAGTTGAGTTTGGATGAAAAAATCCAATTTGAATTATGCCAGAAATGGAAAAATAAATAAGTTTTTTTTAGTATGAAACTAAACAGCGCAGCAGCTACGACCACACGCGGTTGTAAACAAAAATGTTAGTTAAGTCAAGCAAATGATAAATTTAGCGCATTGAAGCGTTTTTGTTTAACTTAAACCATCATTAGATTTCAGTAAACTATATTCATTAGATTTCAGTAAGCTATATTTAAATGAAGGGAACGAGCTTTACATTGGCCGGTATTTCTTGGTTTTGAATGTGCTCTTTCTCGATTTCTGTAAATTTTTAAGCTTCAACGTATCATTTATTATTAGGTTTAAAAACAGCTTTGCTCCAATTTATCAGAAATAATAAAATTTTTGACAAATTACATAGCACATACTAAAACCAAACCAATTGTAGCATAATTAAAGTCAAAGCAAGATTGGTAGTTTCATAACCGCGATAGACTTCAGCGCTATCAAAAGCGACATTTCGCTTATGCAGGAGCAAAGAAACTATTGAAATATAAGATGAGCTCCCAAGGAGACTAAAGAGCTTTATCTTTTTTGCCTTTAGTTATATTATCCAATAAACAGCCAGCACACGAAGATCAACAAAAAAATGTCTTTTTAACATGATTTAAAAACTAGGTACGTTAAGAGGTTGCTATCTAGTACTCGACTACTTTTGAAAAACATAGTCGACAGACAATTGGAGAAGAGTCAATGAATGCAAAAAAAAACAGAAAACTGACTTGTTTTTTTTTAAACTTTGCAATTTCAAAGTAAGAAGTGACACTTGTTAGATAAAAAAATAACTCAATTCGAGAAAACTGGATCAATAGCTTAAATTTATATTCCACTGGCAAACCTGAATATTAAACTCCACTATCGAAACTAGAACACGTTTTTCGTGACCTTTACACTTTCGTAATTGGAGAGCGCAACTAACGTGACTTTCAGCAGATGAAGATGAACTTAACTCAAATAAAGCATCTTTACCTAGAACTATTCATATTTGCAATAAAAAAAATGAAAGCACTTCTATAAAATATTAGATCATTAAGACATTTCCTGAAAACAAAAACCAAAAAAACTTCACGACCTAAATTCATCGACTCTTTAAAAAAATCAAAATTAGAACTCAAGATCAGACACACAGCCGAAGCGGAGCTTCGCTTTATTTGCGATACAGCAAAAGTATAGCATTGAAAGTTACCAAAAAGAAAAAGAGATGAAAAAACTAAGCAAAATAACTTAAATTTCAGAAAAGAAAATTAAGTTTCAGAAAACAAACCAGAAGCACAACCACTAGCTTTAAATAAAATTTTAGTTTTTTCCGAGCGTTCACTAAGCCAACAAACGTGATTAGACGCCCATTTATCCGGAAAAAAACGCCAACAAAAAAATTGAGAGATAAAATTTTCATTTTTTACACTTGAATATTTCAAATTTAGAAAAAAGATTTTGCCGTTAGGCTGACGCAAAATAGTTTCACTACACCGACAAAGCATAAACCGAAATTATTTCGGCCGAATAAAAAATAAAATAGGCAAAAAAACAGTCAGGGTTAGCAAATTCACAAACTACAGGAGTTACTCTGCTAACAGCACAAAAAACTGCTAACAGCGCAAAAAAACTGCGATGTGGCAACTAAGTCGACAAGCAATAATCAGGTTATTCAATTTTTACTGAAAAAAAAATTAATTTCATTCTTATATCTGAGGCAGTGAAAAATGCAAATCGATATAGATATACTCAGATCGAATTCTAAATTATCAACATAAAAGCGTTGTACAAAAATTTGATCTACATAGAGGCAAGGCTGCGCTATCAAGTTAAATAAGAAAAAATAGAAATAAAACTCGAATTAGCAAAAACTCGGCAACGAGTAGAATTCGAATCTGCGACTTACAGCAATCAAAAGATTTTGAGTCTCACGCACTATCCCCTCGGCCACTCAAGCTTAACAACCGACAAACACTAGTCACGAATAAAGCAGCTACATACGCTGAGAAATTGCCAATGCGATTCAGCATCAAATGCATATAGACTCAATTTTGCAATTAATACTTTGTAATATAACAAACTGAAGGCATCCACACTAACTTTGCATGTGATAAACTGCAAAGCATAAAGCCAAATTATGTATAAATTATGCTTTTCAAAAAATGCGAGATATATTGAGTCAGAAAGTTTCTGAAATCGAGTTTTTATTATTGTGAAATAAAAGGCTTTTTTTTCGGTTCATTTGATGAATTAAAAAGGCATCAACTGTGCTAATTTATTACTATTCGAATGTCAAAGCACATGCTATAAAGCTGTAAAGTTGCCCCACCATTATTGGGGTGCCGCACCAATATTTGCGACTTAGGTTGGAAAAAAAAGAAGGTTCGTACTAATACACTAGCTTCGCAAGTGTAAAAAAGCGCGACTTTGAAAACAAGTACGTATCGCGAGCTTGCTTTTTGCTTCAGAAAACAAAAGATTATATTTCGTTTGATACTTGATGGAAACGATAATTGAGATCATGCAATAGCTGGTTCAAATTTTTCAGAGAACTACTATTTTGCCACATTTCGGTAAATTATTTCACAAATGGGTTCATTAGTTAGGGAAGTCTTAATGCCTTTAAAACGAAGAGCTATTCTACTCGACAAGTCTATAAATTTAACAAGGATATCCGTTTGCTGTCCAATTATCAAGGAACGTTACAGCCACAGTGATTTAAGCAAAAAAGTCTCAATATCCTAAATACACAGTTAAAAACAGCAATGATGAGCAATTTATAATGTCCAAAATGAAATCTCAGTTAATATAAATCGGGACGCTTTCATCATTAGTACGAAAGAACTTACTCACACAATTAACTGTCGCGCAGCAAAACACGAAAAAATCTGTTGTTTCAAACAATACTGCTCGTATAGTCGGACCAAAAACCTTAAACAAGTCAAGGATCGAGTGCTCCACTGCACTTGAAGATGTCTACAAAATTTTACGGTTAGAGCAATTTGAACATCTCCTTCAAAATAAAGATAGCCAACAGGCTTCGGGAAATGTTAACACAAAGAAACCGTAATTAAACAAAATTTTCGAAATTAAAAAACTTTCTTAAGCTTTAAAGCTGTTTGAGTAAAAAAAAATTTGGATAAAAGTGATAAGTAGATAATTTTTTTTCGTTTTGCTGGGAAAACTGACAAGTAAAACTCAGCTTTGAAACTAAAAAACCATTACGTTTTTCGTGCTAACAGAGTTTTTGTTATTCAAGAGCGAATTTTTCCATGCTTTTAGCATATGATTTTGTATTGAATGTATTGAAGTTGAAAAAAATGTAAAGTCAAAATCAAATTTAAGTGTGAACAAAATCAGAACATAAAAATTTTCAAAGCATTAAATGATGAAAAATTGAAAATTAGGAGAGCCCCAATCATGTAAACCTCTCTTATATAGAACATCTTCATATAGATATCAGTTATTTTCGTAGGAGGACTCGATCCGAAAAAAAAACAACGTTCAACTAGCTAGTTTAGCATCCCACTGAATGTATTCTTCATTAACTCTTCGACTTGAAAAAAGTATCATCCTCAGTGCTAAAAAACCTGCTATAAAAAGGATTTCGGAATAGATTACCTCGTAACTTTGTAACTTTGTTAATGACCATTCATGCGGTCATGTATTTGGAGCTCAAAGCACATTATTTGAAGCTGAGAAAAAAATTTTTGGGGAAAAAGTCGTACAAACAGAATTCAATTGAGAGCAGCTACATTAAACAACAATACTTCGAATAATAGATTGTTAATAGCGGATAAATATGATTAAAAACAAATAAAAAGTAAATATAATTTTTTTTCTATTATAAAGATTGGGTTAATTTTAGCAATTTGACGAGGTCGCCCCACTGAAATCTACACAAACTGGACAGCACCTGGCGACCAGCTTTTTCAGCTCTGTTTTGAAATAATTGTTGCAGATGAAGTAAATCACTGGGTTTGTGACAAAGTTGATCGTGTAGAGCAGTTGTGCGGGAGTCCTAAAGAATAAACTAAAACTGAGGAAAAATATACGAGACAAACAGCAGGAGGAATTTTCAAGTTCTGTCGAAAATCCATATTTAAAAAACTTTCCACAAGTTGCCAGCTCCTCGGACAAATAAGCGATAGCTATATCATATGACAACTCTTAAACGGTAAGTGTACACCAACAATAAAGGAAATGTTTCACTAAACCATAACATATCCAAGTGGTAAAAGTGTCAATGAACGCAAGAAACAGAAAAAATGACTTGTTTTTTAAGGATAATTTCATGTTTCCAATTTCAAAGAAAAAATGTATGCTCTTTAAGCTTTAGATTGACGCTCGCTTCAGATTAATATTATTAACTTCATTTGAGAACACTGGATCAATCAGTTAACTTTTTTTATTTCTCTGGAAAATCTGATAATTCAAATCCATTTTCGAAATCAGAAGTCGATCACGTTTTTCGTGAAATTTAGAATTTTGTTATTCGATAGAGTTTGCGTTCCTTTCAACAAAGGAGGAAATGAACTGAACTTATAGAAACCAAAAATCAAACGGCGAAAAAGTAAGTTTGAGCCTGAATAACATATTGGACTTATCCTGAAAAAAAAATTCATCGCGACTTATACAAGAGTCTCAACTAAGTTCATCGACTCTTATTCATTACGTTTTTTCGCACAATTTACATAAATTTTGAATTGATCTTAAAAAGAAATCACAAGTCAAACCGTGAGTGAAATTAAAACTTTAACAACTTCTATAATTTTCTAAATGATCACGACTTATATAAGTATCTTAACTATATTAATTGACACCTAAACAGAGTGCCTGAAAATAATTAAAAAGCACATTCAACATTGTATGGTTGTGAGCATTGTTCTGCCCAATGGCGAATTTAAGACGTGCTGAAATATTATGATTTTAAAGCCCTACCTATAGTTCTCGAAGAGGGAGTCCTCGAAGAAGTTAAGTGAATCAAGGAACTGTATGATGACGTCGGGAATCATGAGGACCACATAGGCCACACTAATCGCAAACAGGGTCATCGTCAAGTTCTGGTCCAGCAGGGACGCACGAGAACCTGAAACAACGCACAAGCATAGTCCCATCAAGTATAGTGGTGCATTGAAAGTGATGGTGCAGAGCAATCATATGATGGCGAGTTCAAATCACAGGTGCGCCACAATGCAAAGTGAGCACTAGCAAGCTAGTTACAGCTTAATGAACTCATCGTGATATTGTAAACTCTTAGTTCAATTTTGAATAATTAGCTTCCGAGTTAGGTAAGTACTTGACTGGTTGACTAACAAAAAAACCTTGATAAAAACGCATCTTCACTGAATTAGCTTACAATTACGCATATTTTTGTGATGTCATTATTGATCAGCGTTTCACAAATTTTTTTTCAATTGTCAAATTTCATAGAGAAATTAAGACCTCCGCAAATCTCGTTCAAACGTCAAAGAAAATTTATTATTGGCAATTTTTTTAACATGACCATCACACAGTTGGATAAGCGTTGATAAACTCAAAGAAACCAGTTTTTTTTTTTAAATTTTTGCTCGGAGAAAAAATATATTCACGTTATATTTCAAGCATCTTTTTCATAACCTAATAATCCACTTCGTGAAAGCGGGTCAAAAAGGAAAGCTAAAAAGCTTAAAAAAGTTAAAATAGTTGCCAAGAGCAAAATGTGACTTAGCTGCCAAGAGCAAAAGCTGTGAAAGCTAAAAAAAATAAAATAGCTGTCAAGAGCAAAATTTGGTTTATAAGATCGTTATTGAATTTTAGAGATATTCAAATTTGTTTCCACCACTTGCATTTTTATTATTGGAGAGCAAATTTGGACTTAAATAGTAATTTGAAGTAAGCTAAAAGTTAAAGCAGAAGTCAAACTCCAATAAATCGAATTAGAGCGTGAAGAAACTTTAGGATAGGTTCCTGAAAAAATCAACACGATTAAATAAATAACATTTGAAAATTATTTGCTAAATTAGAAAACTAACTGCGGAGGTTTATGTAAAAATTCGCTCTTTACGTGAAATATACTTTACCCTCGAAAAAAACGACCAAAGCATGTGAAATTTCAATTCTTCGTTAATACTTAATATTATAATTAGTATTATAATTAATCACACAGCACACAAACCATTTTCAAATCAGTCAAGAAGTATTCACATTCAATTGCTCAAATTAAATTCAAATGAAGTTTTGATAGTATAAACATGGCACTGTTAATTATAGACAGTTATATTAGGTACAGCAAAATTAATTGCTCAAGGCAATTTGGAGAATGTCAAGCACGGCGGTTTCATTTTTATCATTTTTTCGCAATGGGTGAATGCATTACCAATGCTTTCAAGATGATGCTCAAGAAAACTATTTGTAAATCTGGCGTTTTTGTCTAATTTTGAACGAGCTTGTCTTATAAAATAAAAAACTCTTATTTAAGCCCTAAAACACTTAGCGTTACTCCGAGAAAACTAGTTTACGATGCTTCGATGCTTGATTTAGCTCTTTTTTGCCAGTAATTTTTTAGTATTAATTCTGCTTCATTTTTCTTTTGTTATTCACTTTTCGAAAACAACAGTGGTGGATAATACGTTACTTAGTAGTTCTATGCATTCGTCTAGTTCCTTTCACAAAATTCCACAAAAAAGACAAAACTTGTTTATCTTAAGAACTATTTTTGAAGGTTTTTTAATTAATGTTTCCAGAGCTTTCTATGCTCCTTCGGAATTATCTCTGAAACAGAATAATCCTTCTTTACTTTTCACTATTTTTTGAATCAATTTCCCAGTTGCTTGATAAATTTGTTAATGTCGTAATTTCCCTTAATATGATTTTCAGCTAACCGTAACATTTGTTCGGATATCCTACGTATTGTGCTGTGACACGCCACAAAAAATTTAAGTCCGAATATCATCAGGCAAAACTATAAGTAGTAATATACACCAGTAGGGGTATTCTCGTGATGGAGGGACCGAATGATTGAAAGCTTTCAACCAAACAGAATCGTTAGACGTTCCTGTTGGCTAAATGACTTTAGCACAAAAACCGAAATCACTTTTAACATAAAGTTACTTTTAACAAAGTTTTGCTGCGTAATTTGCGCAGATTAACAAATAATTTGATTATTTTTTTTGGATTTAGGTGTCTTCCAATACCTGACTTCGTTTTCGCAATTTTAGAAAATTCATGCAACTGCTTATTTTTTAATCGGTCAATATTAGTGGCCTGGATTCCTTCACTTTCATAAATATTTATGCAATTTTTTAAAAACTTTTGAATACTCAATTCTGATTGGCGGAACATAACTTAAAACAACTTCCAACATTCGGTCCCTCCATCATGAGGGACGCCAACTACACCACGCATTCAGTTTTAAGCTGGTACAATCCATATTATTGCATAAAATTTCTGGAAAAAAAATCAGCCAAAAACTTTGGTGGTATCAAACAAAACTGATTAGAAGTTAGACGCGTTCCCACCCCTACCCTAAAAATTACGCTACAGATCAACAATAGTGAAGTTTTGCTGTTTTAATAGAAAGTGCAAATTAGAATATCAGACATTGGGACGAGACAATACATAATTATATTTGCGTCTCAAAACCGTGCATTAAACTAGATACTTTACCTGGGCGCTTAGAACTACCCAAAGGTTTTTTCTCTTCTAAAGCAACAAAATGAGAAAACTTTGAACCTAAAAATATTAAATATTTAAAACCGGCACTCAATCTGAAATTTAAGGTCATTCCTGGTTTTCTAAGGAAACTGAAAAAACTGATGAACAAAACAGAACCAACTAGAACCCAAAGAATTCTGCTGCAACATAGAGCACATTCTGCTGTTTTATAAAAAAAAATTGCTTTTCTGCTCTCTGAAAAACTTTCATTATTCATACAACCAATACAAAAAAAATGCTATAACTATCACTTTTCGAGATAGATTAAAAGTTGAATTGGGAAAATGAGCAGAGAAATTCCAAAACCAATTTCAGAGTAGTTCAGTAGAGTTGTTGATAGATGCATATTTGTGTTTCTGAGAAAAATAGGTAAATTATGCCTTTTGACTGAAATTCTGCTCTATCTGCTGCTCTATAAAATATTCAGCTCTATACGCCAAATTCTGCTCAATTGGGGTTTGATAGCCAGACAAGTATAATCAAGGACGCCAGGAAACAGAAAGTAACTTCAACTTTCGAAGAAAAAAAACATATGGCCATAATACTCTTTGAAAATCATAAAAAATTTATGACTGACACTTTTTTGATAAAATTAACCCAACATGAGACAACTTACTGTATGAATAGGTTATTTTTGCTGGAGAATTTGAATATTAAAAGCTGAATATCAAACTTAAAACTGATCATGATTTTCCTGCTCTACAAATTTTTGAAGTTCGGTAGTGGATTCTACTTTCATTTTCCTTTTAAAAAAATTGTCATGATCTACAATTAGGGGACATAGGAGTTGCAATTTTTTGCTTTCAACAAGCAATTGAACGAAATTTTTCTTCGCATTTTTTCCTTTTCTCTGCAACTATTCAATATATAGGATGCAAATCTTGACATAATCATACTATTTGGAAGGCCCTATCCGGGACAAAAAACCTAGTTTTAGAGGTGTTAGTACTGTGGAAACAGCCTCACAAATAAATTTAATTTTGATTGTGGGCTCAAATTAGTTCTTTGGGAAGCTGATGAGCGTGAATTACTCTTTATACCGCCAAAAAATGACAGATAACAGAATTAACAGAGTTACTTCGTCCTGCGTCGAGGAACTGTCATATCTTTTTTGACGACACATGCATTAAAAGTTCTTGGGAGCTTATAACCGAAATTTTGACAAAATTAAAACACAACATAACTGCTAACAAGAATACTGTGCATGGATTGGAGCAGCAGTTTTTGAAATATTTACTAGAACAGTTCTTATATTGACTTATTTCGATCATCGGATCAAAATTATTCATGAAATTTACGCTGTTTTCTTACGCCGGACCAAGTAAATCATTCAATTCTGTTATCTGTCATTGCTCGGCGTTATGAAGAATAAGTCACGCTCATCAGCTTCCCATAGAACTAAATTGAGTCCATATATTCAAATTCTTTGTTTGCGAAATTGTTTCCACAGCAAGAACACCTCTAAAACTAGTGATAATATATACTGGCTAATTTACGCCTTCAAAAAAATCTAATTTTTCGGCTCAGATAATCCCTTCTAAATAGTTTCATCTATTTGTCAAAATTTGAACCGTATGCCTTAAATAGTTGCAGAGAAATCGAAAAGAAAAACGAAGAAAATTTCGTTCATTTTTCCCGCTCCTATGTTCGATGACTGTATATAAAAGTGTTCACTACGTTCATCGATTCTTAGAAAGCAATCAACACTTTGGAAAAAACGGAATGCAATTACTGTCTGCAAGATCAGTTTTTTTTTCGGTTTTTGACTTTTCATTATGTTAGAATCATTGATTTTTAAATTAGCATGAAAGTTGCCAGCCAACACTCTCATTTTTCAGGTTCCCTTAACCAAAGCGTGTCCACTTTTGTGTTAATGAGATTCATTTAGAAAGGTCAAGTTTTCAAAATTTGACACATTTTAAAACAATTACATAGTGGCTACTCAAGGCACGAGGGCATGTGAAGCGCAAAGAATGAATTCTTGACCTAAAAGTATTCAGGCAAGTAGCAAACATGAGATAATCTGAACATCAAAAATCACCCCAGCACTATTCTTACCATCAAAAGAACAAAAAAGAAACCCAATGGCTGCAAGTTTCCTTGAAAAATGAAATTTTAATAAGGTTTTATTGATGAAAAATAAAAACTGACTTCAATGACGAAAATGTTCACATTTTGAAAGTCGGCTTTTCAAAGTTGACTACTTTAATTGATATGAATGCTTATCAATTTTGCTTCCGAAATGTTGGGTTTTCACATAAGTGAATCCAATTTATTTCAAAGGCAAATCTCACCCCATAAATGTTTCCTCCTCGGATATTCTGCCCCAAAAATTAAAAACCGATTCTGAGTAGAATAATTTAATTTCCTGGCAATTAACATGTCTATTTTAGCGAAAAGTGACCACCCCTTAGCCGACAAAGAATATTATTCTAAGGAATTATTCAATAGAGCGGCCAATTAAGCTTAAAGGAAAAGGATTCTCTTCACATCATTAGGGACCTATTAAGTGAAAATATTCCTAAATTTTCTAGAATTTATTATGGACAAAAATAGGCCGCAGAAATTATAGATGAAAAGTATATTGTAAAATGTCAACAGGGTGACATATGTTCAAAGAGGAAGAACAAGAACAGATTCGAATTTTTGCTACACTATATGTGGCAAACCTTCAGGATACCAGAGATCGGCTTTGAAAACGCTATATTATCAAATGATTGGCTTTTATGACAGCGATTACCAAGAGAACCAACCATATATTTTTGGAGTAATCGTGCATCTTAAAAATAACCCATCAAAAACTACCAAAGAAAGAAACTTTCTACTCGATTGCTGCAATTTAAACTCAGTGCTTTCAACTAGAACCTTTTAATCGACCGTAACTAAGCAGATACTAACTTGTCTTCCTCTTTCTTTGACCTCTGAGAGAACTACGGCCGGCTACCAGCTGAGTGAATGAGGATCGCCTTCTTTCTGCATGAGGAGTTGGTATTGTCAGTCTGCGACACATTTTAGAACCAATCCCTTGTTTCCCATCAGCCTCCTCAGCTTCATCCGCTTGACCAATATGATCATGCGCTTCTTTAATATCGTGGATGGCATCAGCTGAATGTTGTACCGAGAGTTGAATCTTGTCTTCACCTGTACAAATAATGTTATGTATCTGTATCTGGTTTTAATAAATCACGTCAGGCGTCTTGCCCCCAACAGACGTCCTGTTAAAATTAACAAACAACCATATCACATTGACTCGATCAGCTCACAATCCGTCATTTATTTACAAATCAAATATGACATCTTCAAAGTTCCATTTTTCGCAGGGAATATTTGTGCTCGGGGTAGTTTGATACTCCAATTGATACCAAGAGCTTCTTTTAAAGTTGTTAACCCGAAAAAAGGTCCACATTCCGATTTGATAACGCTTGCTAACCGCAAGCGTAAAAATAACTAAAAAGATCATTTCAGGCACTCGAAATTTTCAGGTCTGGTTTTTGATACGAACAGTTTGGTTTTTTTTTCTCACTTAATCCGCTGCCAATAACTTTTGACCAGCAAAAGCTCAGATCGGTTTTGACCGCCACTGAGAGAAAATTTTGAAATATCTCGAAATAGACCAATCACTACGGTAAGAACTTTAATATCATAGCACGCTCAATCCATTCAGGTGTCTTTGAATTAACGGAATCTGCTAAAAATTCCCTTAACCACAGCTCCTCTCATCTTTAGGTGGTTTCGGGCATAAATAAAAAAATATATTTCCTACTATTGTTATAAGCTAACTAAATATGCTTCCAAGAATCTTCACCTATTAATTATATTTCATGAGAGTTATATTTTTCATACTTTTAGAATACCTGAATGCTGTCAAAATTCGCACCAAGAGTGATCAAATTCTGTTACGTTTGAGACATTTACACAATGGCTCATTTGAAGGCATAGAAGCAAGAGACGCGCAAACAATAGACTCTTTGACACAAATAATCATCAGAATTGTTCGAATAAAATATCAAATTAAAGCCTTTTCAGCAGTGGTTCGAACATTAAAAAAATTTCAAAAAGTTTTTCCAGTTTCGAGAAGAACAGGTTTGAAACGTTCGTTATATGAAAATTTAGGGCTAAGAAAACTTAATTTTTTTAAAACGAAAACCATTTAGCTTTTCTTAGGAAAACAGCTTAATGTCAACGCTCGCTACCTGGGCAAAAAAAATTTCCCAATACATTTCAAAATTACGATTTTTTTTTAATTTTGTTTTTTATTTATATTTTTGGACAAACAATGTCGATTATGCCTAATTCACTAACTTTCTACACGTTTTTGTAGTTTTCTCATCTTACCGCGCACAAACAACGACTTCAATTTGAAAAAAAAATTAAAGAAAAACATTTTTTTTGTAGTTTTGTTATGAATATGGTCGGAACATTCTGGATTCTTTGAACAGCAACCTGCTACCCTTGTTTCATTCTGGTCCAGATCGTTCATCGCTTGAATTATGCGCAGTAAAAACTGTTTGATTTCAAAGCAACAAAAATTACTGGCTATTCATTAACGACCATTATTTAGCTTCAACACTAAATGGTGGTTTGAGCAAAAAAATTTCCTACTTTTTATTGGTTTTCTAGGAGTTTAATTCATGTTAAATACGAGTTTCTACATGTTTTTTTTTAGTTTTATTTTATTGCAAATTTTTGTGTTGTCAGATATTCCGAACCAGAAGAAAATTACTTAGGCTATTTTTACCGGTTCTCGAACACTACGATGCGATTCAAAATTAGGACACTATGACAAAAAAAGTTTCTCTAGCACAAAAATATGAGGCTGTTAGGTTTATTGGCTACAATCAGATAATTCCCGCCGTATTGCTATTAATGTAAGTCAAAAGCAAACCATTGGCTTGGGTAACTTCCACGTTGGCAATTTTATCAGCTTCATCTCCCTCGATAACAAAGCGACTTTTGGGAACTGCATCAAGACGCACTTTTGTTCCAACTCTGATCGGAACATTCGGCTCAGCTGCTGCGCCATTCTCACACTGAGTCTTAAACAGATAACTCCATTGAAAACTTTGAATGCTGGTAATTATAAAGTGAAAACAGAGTGGAACTTTGAAAGTTATAGTAGTTGGCAGTTTGTTGGAGCTCATAGAAGTAATTGTAAAACATACGAGCTCTTCGACCATTTCCATAGGAATAATCCCTAGCATCTGAAATCTTTGATTGCTTCCTCAAAATATGCGTTTCAATTTTGCTGGAAGGAGAGGGGATACCAATTCAATCAGCCTTCCTCTCTCTAACCTTGACGGGTGCTCTGGTGTTTTCGACACAAGTGGTCATCTGCAGGGCCTTCTGAGACGCCTTGGCCTTCTTCTCGTTCATTGTCACTGCCACCAGGCGGTACAACACAGCCATGAGCACAGCTGCCACAATCAGCAGCAGCAGTCTGATGTTCACCCAGATGAACTTGACCACGTCGAAGTGCGTGGCATCGCTCGGCACAATATTCCAACCTGCAATACAATTACATTTTCTTCTGATCACACTCAAATTAACTCAAAATCTCATTTCTGTTATATGATTTTATGAGTTACTCCTTTAATAACTTCAATAGAAAGAAGCAAAAACTGGACCAATAGTATATTCTTTCATTTTACTGGTAAATTTTCAAATTTACAACTAAAACCAAGCAAGTTTTTATCGCACTTTTACTTTAGTGTTTAATTTGGCATCTATTTTTCAAGTGAATTAGAATGTGAACACAAAAAATGAAAAGTCCAGCTGCCAATATATAATCAAAATGAGCGCGAGAAATTTTTCTTTGAAATAAAAAACGACACGGCCTAATTTCGTTCATAAACACTCACTGGCTATTTTACTTTTTCAAGATTTAAACCTATTTTTAGCATGAGAAGCTTTCAAGAGTCTCGATTTCTAAGAGTAAAATTGAGTTTTTTATTTCATATTTTTCAAGTTCTGGGGTATTTCAAGGAAATTTCTTGTGAGATTCTTGCTTTCATCTTCGAACGGCGAGTGAAAAATACTCCACTGATTAACTCGTTGAAGTTTTGCTATATGCCTGCTAATCCGCTATAGACCGTTATTAGCTGTGCCAAACCCTGGCCCTGATGCCCAGCAGATTCCTCGCCACTTTCGCAATTTAATTACTTATAGCTTTCCTTGTCTTAGTTTAAGTTTCTCTAGCTTATTCAATACTTATTCAAGTTGAAATGGCTTGTAAATCGATAAACGGTAATGGAAATGAAACTTAAAAAAACCAAAACTCGAAAAAAAAACATAGCGAACAGCAGGGTGACCACTCTTATGAAAAAAAAGTAGCGACCTCATAGAAAAGTACTAATAGCGACGTTTTAGCGACGTAAGCTCAATTTAGCGCCTCAGAAATGGAAACTCGCTCAAAACTTCCAGGGTAAGTTTAGTTTTGCACAGGGCATCTGGAAAAATTTGGTAATGTATCAACTAGTATTTAAGCAAACAAGTACACACCAAAAACAGCGAGTTCCACAGAAGTAGCGACCTTTTAGCGACCTGTCGAGAAGTAGCGACCTTTTAGTGACCTGTCGCTGATTAACGACCGACTGGTCACCCTGGCGAACAGGCAGTTGGAAAGAAGTCAATGAACACAAGGAAACGGTAAAAAAAATACGGACTTGTGTTTTGAAAAAATCTCATATTTCGAATTTCCCAGGAAAAAAAGATGACCATAAAAATATTTGAACTTCTAGAACAATTTATGATTGCAATTTTTTGTTAAAAATAACTCAATTTGAGAAAACTGGATCCATAGTAAATTTTTATTTCGCTGGGAAATTCGATAATTAAACTCCACTTTCAAAATTAGAGGTCAGTCACGTTTTTTTGTAAATTTTGCCCTTTCATTGTTCTATAGTAGATTTTGCCTTCCTTTTAACGCAAGAAATGAACTGAAGTTGAAAAGAAATCAAAAGTCAAACTGCGAGAAAGTAAATTTAAGCTTGAACAACTCTTAAGTTTCCTGAAAAAAAAAATTAAAAAAAAATATTCAGGACGTTCATAGACTCTTAACAATGTTCACCAGACAATTATAAACACATAGCAACTGGCCAGTATCGCATAGGATCTGAGGGCGGTGTATTTCTTGTCAAAGTTTTTGAATAAAGAGGTTTAATTTAAGTTTTAGGAAAATTTTTTGAAAAAATGACAAAAAACGTCATATCTGGAAAACCTAAAGGTTTTGAGCGGTCATATTTGGAGGCAAAATTCACAACCCCTGACAGTACCCTGAGAAAACCTCACTATAGAGATTGAAACTTTTTATATCTAAGTTCTGGGAAAAATTTTTCTATATCTAAAGTCTGGGAAAAAATCCTAAAAGCGTCATATCTCGAAAACTACAAAGATTCGAGCAGTCATATTCAGAGGCAGGATTTGCAACCCTGGAGAGTACCCTCACAGTTTCTAACAACAGGATTGAGATCAGGCTAAAGTATTGGAATTTTTCAAAAATCTAAGTTTTTTTGAAAAATTTTGAAAATCATAAAAAAACTTCATATCATAAAAAACGTCAAACATTTGAAAAGTGGGATTTGGAGACCCCTGGGAGTACCCTGACAGCTCCCAACTACAGGGTGAGAATTTCAAAAATTGAGAAACTTTTTAAAATTAAATTTTCTAGAACCTCGTAAACTAAAAGGATTTAGTTATTAATATTTGGAGGCCAGAATCAAAAAACCTGGGAAAACCCTGACAACATCCCACTATTGGTTTGCTAATTTCAAACTTGATGGAGTAAGCACTGAACTTAAATGGGAAAATAAAAAAACCTTAAACATTGCTATATACGATATACCTTAAACGTGCAAAAATTCTTTTGTTAAACATGCAAAAATAATACTTTGAAAAAGCTTAAACATGGCGAGATAGGGAAGCCCGCATTTAAATACATAATAGATAGATTGGTCTTGAATGACGATAATAATATTTCGTTCTGGTGAGTGCTGTGGAGAGTTAAAGAAGATATAAAAATGAATTATGACAGTTCGTCTACCTTATATTTTCGGCTTATTTACCACTCAGTAAACTTTACTAAACGCCAATTAAAGGCATGTAATCGTGCTTCTCGGTAGTTTTCATCAAATTTAATTTCATTTGAGACAAACCAACGAAAATTGTGGGCGATGCTTTTTTCGGATTTTTTTAAAAAAAAAAAAAACGTCTTCCACTCTGTCACTTTCGTCTGTTTTTTTTTGGCGAGCTACCCTGCTATGTTTCTATTGTAATGCAAGTGATGTGATAGCCTGTTTTGCATCGGCGTTAAAATTTTATTTTTCATAGTTAATGCCAAATTATTGGCAATACCCTTTCAGGTCAAGTTTCTCAATGTTGCCAATAATTTGGCATCAATTATAAAGATTCATGTCTGGAAACAGAAGATTTAGGTTATCCTAACTCAGAACAGCATCATACAAAATTTACAGCCCATATGACGGGTTGTTTATCTATCTCATCATTGGTATGTATATATCAGAATTTGATTTATTTGTTAGGGCAAATTCAAAAAAAACGCAAATTTATTATCCTTCTTCAACGTACTTTGACCTTTCAATTTTAATCATATATAAAAAGTAATGAATAATTATTCACGTTATTGAAGGGGACTGTAGATTCATAAAACCTAATTCCATTCCCCTCATTGTAATCTGCCAAAAAGTTAATTAATGCAGAGAAGTGAATTAAATCATGATAAAGACCCTGAATATCGTCGAATTCATTAAAGGCTTTGAGGTTCCTGGACGGAAACAGAACAATAACATTAGCTCACACCACCTACCGGCCAATTGTTCAAATCACAAAGCAACTCATCGACTATTCATTTCAATTCCAAGTTTCTGAACTGAGACTCCCTCTTCTGTTTTTCCCTGAATACCATAGTTACAAATAGCGAAAAAAACTAGCTACTATAAAACTGATTTATAGAACCTATCAGACAGTCACATTTCGGCGTTCTCAGTATGATTTTCGGGAACACGCATAGAAGAACTCCGTGATAAAAAGTTCGGGTCTAACAAAACCCAAAGTAGTACAAGACCAAGATCACACTTTAGGGCTCTAAGAGGTGCCGACGAGCTGACACGAATAAATGAAATAAGACTCGGTGGAGAAAAAAGAGTATCGAATTACTTAAGCTTAATAAACTGAAACCTAAACGGATTCTCCGGTTCCATATATTTAATGATCTATCTGCCATAAAATAGACATATAGGCTAAAAATAAATAGTTAGCCAGTGGATGTATTACACGGTTCACAACTCTTGAATTTGATGTCACATTTCTCCCCACATTGATAATGGGACTTTGTGTAAGATATATGAGCGAACTTTGTGAGGGGGCGAAATGTAGCAGTGATTTTCAGTGGCGCCTGAAAACGGGCTGCAAAGTTCCACGGCGTTCTCGCAATGAGATTTCATTTGGTTGTAAATCTAGTAAATTTTACAGTGAATGGAATCTACATTGCAAACAATTTATTATTATTATATTATTATTATTTAAGGGGGACTTTTTCATATATTTCACCCAAACACATTTCGCTATAGTGATGTCACACAATTTGCGGACTTTGGCCCTATTTTTTTTTTACTTAGTATACTAGTGTCATTAGCATACTAAATTTGAACGAAAACTATCTCCGAGTGAACTGTCGGGTGCAGGACTTCTCCAGCAGTTCGTGTCTCGGGACTGCACACACCGCTCGGAGATAGCGTTGCTCGATTGTATTCATTTGTGGGAGCGCAATGCGTGAGAGTCGAAACAATATGAACTTTTTTTTACGGCAGAAATGTATGATTACCGTACAGCTCTTTATCTTATGTCAGCTTTCTATTCTTGCATTCAGTGTACCGGTTTCTTTTCTATTATGAACTTTGATTGCATATTGAACGTGGCTAAATTAGCGCTGAGTTACTCAGTGTTCGAATATGGAGATAAATACAAACCTAATTGCAGTGCAAGCGAATGGCTAGATGAGAAACGTTCACAATAGTTCGCAACTGCGGCGACTTTATTGACATGATGCTTCACTTGACTGAATTTTAAAGGGAAATGCTGTCGAATATTCATGCAATTCAAGGGGGTCTAATAGGAGGGGGTGGACTTGGCTAGACATTGGAGGTGACTGACCTTTAGGAGGGAAGTGCGAGAGACAGATTGAGAAGGAGAGCGCGCAGGAGGGCAGGGAGAGTGCGATGGTGGAGAGGAGCATGTAGTTGACCCTTTTGGTGGTGAAGATGGTGTTGTACGAGTGGGGCCTGCACACTGCCACCCATCTGTTCACAGTCATCCAACACACCAGAATAGAGGAGGACGTGTTGATTACGTCATAGACTGAAACGAAACAACACAACTTTCTAATTCTCGTCATCAATATTTTCCAACCCCCCCCCCTTGGTAAAATAATTTACGACGCCCATTTCTGGCCGAAATAAATACCAGCGCGCGCAAATTATGATCATTCTGGGGGTTTTGGCAGAACTCAAGTATTTCAAAAATATGATTCTATGATTTAACACAAAGGCGATGCTGCACTTTGCAAACACGAGCGGCAAAACGCCAAACCGTAGCAGTAAAAAGTCAAAAAACAGATAAAAAGGCAGAAAAAAACATATATGAACAAACTTTAACAAATTTCCCTCTGCGGGAACCGCAAACCCGACTCAGAGTCTAATGTCGACAAAACTGTGCCCTCAGTGCTTCCAGCTACTAGCCACCAAAAAACATGGTCTTAAATTTACAATTATAAAATCCCACCAAAAAGGAGCACTAATTTATGACAGTTGGGCTGCAAAAAGTTTACTCATAACAGAAATACACTCGCAAGCTCTCTTGGGTAAAAGTCGCTATTGAAGAGACGAATACGCTGAGTGTTAAGAACTTTTCCAACCGAGTCACGACAGAAACTAATTTGTTAATGCTAGAAAATTATGTCGGTTTTCGATAACCCAATCAATTCAAAAAATGGTGGCATCAACTTTTCGCCTCCAGTTTTAACATTATATACTCTTGTACTAAGACGTATTATCAGCAGATGTTCCATATGCAAAGTTGATTTATGAGCGCGGAACTCGGTTTAATGATGTGGTGGTGATGTTTTTTTTATTTAAATCGTAAATTTTTAACTCACGGTTAATATATTTACTTGATATATAGATTTATTTCAGTGTTTGCTAATTCAAAAGAGCCAAGCAGACACGGTATTCTTTTTCGGCTAGCTCAAAATATCTAATCCAAAAAAACAATCCGAGTATTTTCCCATTTAAATATGTCTGAATGCTATCCAGGATAAAGCCGCACTGTAAGACGCCAAGTGCAGGCGACGCCAAGTGTTATCGTCGCCCGACAAGTTGATGTTTCCCATTATAATAATGGACTCAAGCAGAATTACCTTTGGACGCATTTAGAATGAGAATGGCTGGTAATGGATCAAATATACAAATGTCTGTTGATTTCACTCAACTAACCCTCGCAACTTTGAGCATGTTGAAATATTGGATCCGTACCACCTGTGCGAAGGGGTTGTTGTTAACGCACTATTGGAGGAGAGAACGGGGTAGGCTGGTACGGTAGCCTTTAACGTACAGAGATCCCAACGAACGAAAGAGGCAAATCAAGAAGAGCAATCAGTTATGAAGTTTATATACATTTTTGACACAATTGAATCTTCTCCACCGACTTTGATCTATGACATCAAACAATAAACTGAACCACTAACTCACAATAAAGAGAATTACAAAAGGTCGATCTTTGTTTCTTGTCTTTTCGGTTGGCTATTCTCATGATGGAGGGACCTTTTAAGCAATCAAAATCGTAGAAAACCGTGTAAGTTCTTATTTGATGAACGCCTGATGCAAAAAAGAAAGCAAAAAAGACAGACCTGTAAAAATATTTCCCCGCGGAGGGCGCACATAGGCGCTTCACGCCTAAGACCGTCAGGTTCTTTCATAAAGTTGGAAACAAGTATCACCTCAATTACATTTTTTTCTTTTTGCACATCACCTGCAAATTATTACAATTAAAACTTTAAATCACATTTCCTGATTGTTTTGAAAAATGACAAAAGGACTAATTAAGCCATGAAAACATATTTGGACTTCATAATTAACCTTGTTAAGCGACTCGTTACACAATTAAATTGATGCTCGTGTGAGATGATGCAGAGGAGAAAGAGCCAATTTTGACGTGACTGCTCTAATTCGCACTTGACAGAAGTGAACCGGAGCATCGCACGCCAAGCAAAACTACAGAAAAATATCGGTACAAACTAGACAAAAACTGAAAAGAAAGCCTCTAAGCCGATTTGAAAAAAAAATGACAAAACAATGTTGATAAAAGCACTATTACAAAAATTTGACAATTTTGTCTCGAATGATCTTCAATTTAAGGAAAACACGTCCGGCAAAGCAATCGCCGGAAAAAAACAAGAGATCAGAATCGGTTATCGAGCGGCAACTAATCTGACGAATTTACGTAAGCTACGGTTGAGTCGAAAACAAAATTGTTGTCATGAACAAATTTGAGCTGTAATGAAGATATAAAAATTAAAGATTAATTTTTCTGTGTTTCTGGAGGATGTGGGGCGTAAAAATTATGGTTCCCTTCAAACGACACAAATTTAGATCACTTAGCCGATAAAACGGAAGCCGAAACTATTGACGTCGAATAAAGTTTTAGAAAAAACATAGCCAACAGACAGTTGGAAAAGCGTCAATGAACAAAAATTCTTACGTTTGGGCCAAATGTGTCAAAGAAATCAAGAAAAAATTTATAAAAAACCGAGCCTACAATAGGTTCAAGTGATTTTTAAACAAGCTGTTAACCCGAAAAAAGTCTATGTTCCGATTTATTAACATGTGCTAATCGCAAGCGTAAACATACAATTTTGATAGTCTTTCCATCATTCTGACCTTCAATTATAAAGGACTCCCGCACAGAAGCAGAACCGTAGCTGAAACTCTGATGCGATACTATCTAATTATGGTTGCTCCTTTTGTGCTAATGTCTCGATTCGCTTCATATCGAAATGAAGCCGTAAGTCATTAATGTACTTCAAAGGTGCCAACGATGAAAGAACCTTATTCAGTCACATTTGGTGAATTTAGACACAGGCTAGTTACCCCATTCCCTGATGTTGAGATGTTCCAAGATTTTAAGGTTTTTCACTAAACTCCGCCCCCGTTAATCAATCGGCTCGCAAAAATTTGGTTGTTCTGAGCCAGACAAGATCTTTGGAATAATTCAAAGTAATTAAATTGTAAACGGTTCGCAAAATTTTTGCCAGCAAAAGAACGTTTTGAACACAGGCGAAGCGGAGCTTCGCACCACTTGTGATACAATACAAACATAGAAAAAAACATTCGAAAGAAACTTTTTTAGTTGAGAAAAACTAGGTGAACCAAATTTTTCGTAAGTCTCGATAAAAAAAACAACCACAGGCCCAGGTAAAGCTGGAGGTACGTGTTAAATATTGAATGAGTTTTTGATTTCAAAAATTGGACTTCGCCTAAAACATTAGTTGTTTCTCTAGTAAAAGAAGTCAGATGAGTAAAAAATCTATTTTCCCAAGATTTTCCACAATCCACAACGGTTTTCTGCAAAAAGCAGATTATGGCCGCTTAAGATTTCGAAAGCCGGGTTTCTCGATTTAACACAACCCAAAAATTGGCCCGGTAACTTTCGCATGAAGCCAAAAATTTTCCAAAAAAACTGTCAAAGTTTCAAAATTTTGACTTGCTTAAAGGTCAACTTGATCATTTGAGTAAGCCAATAATATCAGATTTCGCAGAATACAGTGCTGATTTAAATTATCCGGACAAAACGAACAAAACTTGAATTTTCAAACGCGTTTTTCTCAAATTGGGTTAACATTAGACAAAAAGTGAAGAGAGCAAAAGTTGCTTAGAATTTCACCAGAATTAACATGGTGCCATTTGTTCTCGGAAATTCTCTACAAAAAATTTACCCCAAAAATGGGTCAATTTGGCTTTTTTCAATTAATCAAGAATTACGCGGAAACTACTTAGTTAATTGATAAGAAAATTATATCACAGGAAGCCTCTTACGCAGCTCAACAAAGTTTAAGAAGGGTTAAATCTCCAAAAATTTGCGCAAATTGTTTAAAATTTATTTTTTAACAGAGATTCTGGGTTTTATATAGTAAAAATCACATTTATTGACTATCAAGTGAAATTTTTTTCATTTATACTGGTTTTTGGAGATTTAACCCTTCTTAAACTTTGTTGAGCTGCGTAAGAGGCTTCCTGTGATATAATTCTTATCAATTAACTAAGTAGTTTCCGCGTAATTCTTGATTAATTGAAAAAAGCCAAATTGACCCATTTTTGGGGTAAATTTTTTGTAGAGAATTTCCGAGAACAAATGTCACCATATTAATTCTGGTGAAATTCTAAGCAACTTTTGTTCTCTTCACTTTTTGTCTAATGTTAACCCAATTTGAGAAAAACGCGTTTGAAAATTCGAGTTATGTTCGTTTTGTCCGGATAATTTAAATCAGCACTGTAGTTAGAAAGAAACGTCAAAAAACGGTCAATAAATCACAATTTTGACGATTCCGAGAATCATAGCTTTTTGTGTGAAAAAAATATAACATAAACGTTATTCAGAAGGGATTCAATAATCTGTAATTTCAATTGAACCCAAAATCTCAGACTTGGTGAGTAGTTTTCGAGAAAAGTCAAAAACTTTCAAAAACAGTCTCAAAATCAAATTTTTTTCTTTTCCGAGGGGCAAAACTTTTGGATTCAACAAAATTTCTGCGTAGTCGCATAAGCAAATGAACTTTCCGAAGCCCGTTCTGAGAATTTAACCCAAAAAGTCAGGATTGGCAGAGTACTTAATATATTTGATTTTTCAGAGGGCGACAACTGCTTGTGTACAACATTTGGTAGTGTCCGCTACTGCAGAGGAGCTTCCCACTACTTGCTATCTCATTAAGCTTCCCACTACCTGTTATCTAATTGAACACACAATATCAGATTTGAGAGGGTAGTTTTCGAGAAAAGTCGAGAAGATCCACAAAACGGTCAAAAATCAAAAATTTGACTATTCCGAGGGCCATAATTTTAAGTGCAAAAAGAATTTGGTCGAAGACACCTATGCAGGAAACCTTTTCAAAACGTTTTTAATGATTGAAGCCAAAAACTCATATTTGAGAGAGGTAGTTTTCGAGAAAACGAAAAAAAGTCAAAAATATGGGTTAAATATTCCCCCGCATATTTTCGAAGGCTGCAGACAGAAGGGTCAAATGAAAAAAAAAGACTCTAGGGTAGTATGCAGGCACACAGAAGAATAAGCGGTCTTTCAGTTGATACTCCTATTTTGAAAATCAGCAGAATTTTCTGGAAAAAAAAATAAAATGTTTGCAAAAAGTGAAAAATTTTTCCAATACGAAAAAAAATGAAATTTCAACAAACAGATTGGTAAACATACAACCAACTTGAAAAATTCGGAGGAAAGTGCCAAAATTGTATTGATCTTGAAACGTTCAAAAAAAATTAGGGAAAAAGAATTTTTTTAGCGAAACAAAAAAAAACGAAGAAGGAAATATGAAGTCAAGATAAGTAAAATTACAAAATGTAGGCCTAAATCCAGCACTAAAAACAACATTAAAAATCTGCGCAGAAAAAAAACAGTTCCAGAACACTAGCGAGAACACAACAAAAGCAGCTTTATAAAGAGCAATAAGAAAATGTAGAAACAAGCCTCGAAAAAATCGGCTAAGTCTCGAATCTGCTCTGCGACCTACAACAACCTAGAGAATATGAGTCTGATGTACTAACCAATCAACCACGGACGCTTAAAATATCGCCAACACTAGTCTCAAATAAAGCAAAGAACAAAGAACACCGAATAATGAATACTTTCCACTTTCAATGAACACTTTTAGTTGCGAGTGAGATTGGAAAACAATGAAGGTTCGTACTAATACACTACGCTGCTCACGAGTATATTGATTAAGTAAAGAGAATCGCAAATTTTTTTGACATTCTAAACAGCAATTTTTGAAGTTATTACAAATCGTGAATCGATTCGCAAAGTAAATTTTCTGCGCAGGCCAACCAAGCGTTGACAATTTTGAAAAAATTAAAATTGAATCATTAAGAAGCTATACAATCTATTTGTATAAAAATTTTTGTAATTGAATTAAAGCCAGAAACGATTTGCAAACTTCGATGAATTTCTAAGCAAACTATTCAAGCAATGCAGAGAGATACTTTTTTAAGCCAGCTATGTATGCTTTGAAACCTGTGAAACTTTGAAGATAAATGATAGAATAAATCCTTTAGCAAAAGTTGATGACTTTCTAAGCAAGCTATTCAAAAAATGATTTTCAAAACTTTTGAAATTAATCTGATGCGTTAGGATCTGATGCGTACACTATTCACGCGTTGCAACTTTGAAATGTGTCCAGTTATTTCATGGAGCAACTCGTTTCAGAATAAAAATAAATTTTATAGGCAAGCTAATCAAATTTTGAAATTTACCAAGTTATTTTATAGAACAAATCGCTTCCCGAAAGGTTGAAGTTTTTTGGCGAGATTGAGGGGAATAAATCTTTAAATTGTTCCAAATTGTTTTTATGCATGATTTCTCGATCAAATTTTTCGTTTTCATAATTTTTTGTTTTCATAGCCTGAACCGATTTGAGCAAGGTAACAACTTTCAGAGCAAGCTAATCAACCAATTAAATTTGAGTTGTATGAGCGAACTGCATCGAGTTATTGCCATAGCTTGAATCGAGTCGCGGTAGTTTAGTTTCTTTCAATCGAGCAATTGAAAGTAAATTTTCAAATATATCAAAGGTTGGTCTTAGCTTGAATCGCTTCCCTAGTTGAAATGGTTTCAAGCAAGCTATTGGTCAAAGAAAAATTGAAACATTTCAGATTGTTTATGTAGCTTGAATTGAGTCACAATAATTGAATTGATTTTCCAGCAAATTAATGAGGAAAAAAAATTGAAATACTCAATTTTTTCCGCAACTTGAAAAAATATTTTTAGGTTTAAGTTTTTTGAAGCAAGCTATTATTTAATTAACTTTTAAATATTCCATTTTTTACAACCTAGCCGGTGTACAAAAAAAAATTAAATTAGGTCAAATTGTGTTCATAGCTCAAATCGACTCGCAAAAAATTCTAAGTAATTGAATCAACCAAATGAGCAATAAAATTTTCATCATAGCTTGATTTGAGTTGCGATAGTTCAAATTTTTTTCAAGCAAACTTTGAGCAAAAAAAGCTTTGAAATATTTCCATTTAGTTTTATAATTTGAATCAACTCTTAAAATTTTAATTTTTTGAAACAAGATATTAAGCATTAAGGTTTTAATTATTTCAAGTTGTTTTTATAGATTCCATCTTTTTGCGGAAATATAGGGTTTTATCAAAATAGCTATTCAGCAAAAAAACATTGAATTATTCGGTGCATAACTCAAACCTTTAAACAAAAAATTCAGGCAATATTATGAGCATGAGCGAATAAAATTTAATTTCATTGCGTAAACCGATCCTTCCAAGTTAAATTCCTTGCATAAGTTTATGTTTTCTTGAATAAAAAAATTCACCAAGACCAATATAAGAGTTTTTACTACGTTATTTTTCTAAATTTAACATCATTACTTGCGTCATTTCAAAAAATTTCTACTTAGTTGTATTGTCATAAAATGAATTTAAAAAACGTAAAAAGAAAAATGACTCACAGCTGTTGGACAGAAGACAGAACTGAAGTGCATCTCCATCCGGCCTCCACCAGCGCAGTTTGCCCGTGAACAAAATGAAGCACAGGTTCATCGCGAAGTCAGTCAGTGCGATGGCAATGATGAAGCGTTCGCTCGGTGCCTTTGGTACTTTTCTCCCGTAGATGTAGAGAACTAAGAAATTTCCAACCAGCCCGAATATACAGATAATCCATTGGACTACAAAAACCTCAATAGGCCCTTGCACACCGGGTACATCTGTTGAGTTTCCACTGGGATCCGCGGTCGAAGACAGCCCGCCGGACGAATTCATCATTTGCTTGGGTCGGGTTTAACTAGCGAATAACTTGATTAAAATTAAAATAATCAGGAAAACAAATGATTAAAACTAGCATAGAATAGATCAAACTGTGAGTCTGGGAAGGTTATTCTTTGTTCTAATCAGATGAACTGATACCAAATCGAACAAATCAAGGCCGAAGATTTTATATTAGGGAATGCATTGTGAAAAGGGGACTTTTCAAGCTTAATTAGTTGCCCAGTTGAGTAAAAATTAATAAGATGGCGACGTTGAGGCATTACTTCGAATGAAAAAATGGTGCTAAATAAAGAAGCATCATATTTGAATTCTATTGGTACTTTTAGAGAAAAATATACCTAATGACAGGCACATTGCTCGAAAGCTTATCAAAATCTGATAAAGACAAAAATAGTGAAACATCAGCCATTTTTTAGCAGGCAAATAAAATAAATTAAAAAAATTACTAATTCGCTTTTTCATTTGTGATGAATCGAATCTTACGCTCTAAAATAGATTTGCTTGTCATCTTTTCTATCAGCCTAATAATAAAATTTTGTTTCCTGCGAAAAAAAATCAAAAATTACAATGGCAATTACTAAGTACCTGAAGTTAATGAATTAAACTATCGATCATACAAAGAAAAAAATGGTATTTTACCCGTGTTTTTCTTCCAAAAGTGAATATGTATTAGTAGACAGACAGAACGACTCATACTGCTACGGCGCCTTCAGCATTAATATATTTAATTGCATTAGTTATTTTGATTTTAAAAAAGCGTATTTGCAGAAAGCTATTCAGTAAAATAAAAAAAAGAACAGCAGAAAAAAAACGGCCTAGCTCCTTCATCTAACCTAATAGACGATATATCTCCCTATTTTTAGGGGATTACTAAATCAATTCAAACCTGCCTTTTCTGAAATCCTCTCAATAATGCAGCTAAAAAAATTTTTTTTCGTTATGTAATAACTGCTTCTTGAAAATTCAATTATTATAACTAAGTATTAAAACTACTGATCAAGTTTACCCAATTTACCCTGAAAATATTCTCCACTTGTAATCAACACCAGGCCTGTTCCCGTTTAGGATAAAAGAGAGGGTTGATGAGGGAATAAAGTAAGGGCAATCTAAGGAATATCAGAACTCCAATCAAAAGTTGACAATAGCTGGCTGTGCTCAAAGGGTCTACCAATTCGGACTGTTGTTGACCGAATAATCAAAACGAATGATAACAAATCGATGTGTCTATCCGAAACTTGCAGAAAGCGCTCGAAGAATTTTATGCATAAAAGCTTCAAATACAAACAGTGAGCAAATGACTTTAGGAAACGTGACCACCAGGGAGCGGAAAAAAAGTATATACTTTTTTTCACGTTTTTCGCTCGTAATCAAGTTAAAAAAGTGAGCTAAAACATCTAGTTTTTTATTAATTTGCTCTACAAACAGCACTTTCAAAAAAAAGATACAAAAACTGGAATTTGTGATGAAATGAAAAAAATCTGCCAAATTCGTTCATGCGCGGATAAAATCCTAGAAAGTTGAATTTTCAGTATTTTGAAGCAAAGCTGCGGGGTCGTCAGAAAATACAGAGTAAAAAAATGTAGATTTATGCGTTTATAAGTCAAAGTTGAAGGTTTTTGTTTTCACCTTTTTTATGAATTTTTTTTGGCAAATAAAAAAAATTAAAACAACTTTTTCCGACCAAAAATTTACTTTTTTCCCGCTCCCTGGTTAGCAGAAGAAAACGAGCTTATCCTCTAATAAGTAATGCTGAAAAATCGCACATGATAACTTGCAATAATAGACACCTCGCTTAAAAGACATCTTACATTATAAGGGTAGAGCTTCATACGAAATTTAGAAATTGACCTTAAACCGAAATTTTCAATTAATTTTCAAAACTTTTGCTTTCCTTAAATTTTGCTAGTTGTCTTTTGTTAAGAGATGTCTTTTATTGCGAGTTCTCGCGGAACTCCAAATACCTTATTAAATTCAAACAGCTGGAACTTAATGTGCAATTTCGATTTATAATTCATTTTCAATTTTTTTTTTCAGAAATCGAATGGCACCGAAAATAAGATAGTCGACTCGAACCGACCGCTGAAAAGAGCTGAACCGTCGACCCCTAGTCTAAAAAAAATCTTGATTTTGCAATCGCTGCAGTTTCTTGATTTTAAAATATCAGCCGTGAAAATAGAACAAAGGAGCCATGGAGAGCATTGGGACTAAATTAAAATTAATCTTTTGTCTAATTTTTCTAAATCAACCGGCGCTTTTACTTACCACGGCAATACAATTTGCAAGAAAAGAACGCGGGAAAAATGTAGTCAATGTAAGCAACTACTGGATGACCCACGCATATTTTATAAATATTTTTCAGAAAGCTAAGCAAGCAAAAATTGTATGCTTAATTAGCTATCAATTGAATTCAAGTTTGCGTTGAATTAAACATAAGTCACTGCACTTTTTCTGATCAAAAGCTACCGAGCGCAGTCTGCGTTTTGAGCAAAAAAAAAAGTTTGCCACTATTCCAGCTGAAAAATTCTTTGTATTAAGTCGACGGCGGTACTTAACGACAACAATAAGCATAGTATGTGAAAGACACTCTATTCTTCTTTTTTGAGACGATTTCTATTCCGCACTGGCTGAACAATAGAAAGAGAAAAATAATGAAGAAACGAGGAAATTAATGAAACTAAAAGACATAAACATATATACGGACAACACGGCAGAAGAGAAATTGAGGACTGCTAGTTAACTTAATAAATTACACGGCTAAAAATAATTTTATGATAATTGTAGTGTTGAATTAAATTATCCGGAAAATATAAAAAAAAATTGAATTTTAAAAAGCACTTTACTTTTTTTTCAAAAATGGTGAGTATAAGTCCGGGTTGGCTTTCTCATGGAGTAATTTCAGAGAGGTGCACCGTCTGTTGGTCACGCTATCTTATTTTCAGCCGGACAGGTTCGTGCAACTTCTTAGTCTAATACCGATCTTAATCTTACTCTTACATTTCCAAGTCTCAATAGATCTAGTATATACTAGTCTTCTTGCGAGGTTAGAGGAGAGGAAGAGCAATTGCTTTCTAAGTTAAATATATTCAATAAATTGTTTCAGCCTTATAAATTGTTGTTGATTTTAGTCATGGATCATGATTGGTTAGTTCTAAGTATTTTACAGAGATAGTTATCAAGAATATAATTAGATATATAAAATACTTGTTTTGAACTGGTTCCAATGGGTTAACGTAAGACAAAAAATTATCAGAGGCAAAGTTGCGGAGAATTTTACCAGAATTACTATGGTGCAATTTATTTGAGGCATTTCGGAGCCAAAACTTAATCCCAAAAATGTTCACTTTGGCTTTTTTTAGTCAAAAAAAAATTACGAGTCTTCTGCACGAAACGACCTGAAATCAAAATCTTTAGATCTTAAGGTAAAAAGCATGCGGTAGAGTTTGATTGGCTAATATTAGCCAACCGAGTTCAAGCAACATGGTCAGGCATTTCAATCAACTTTTTCAGCAGAAAAAACATTAGCTGAGTTTACCAAAAATGTGATACTTTTTTAAATAATTCAATGAATTTCTTGTTTTTTGTATGAAATTTTGCCCAGACGGCGCCCAAATAACTAATTTTGGGGGTGCCCGCGCCGAAAAAAAACTCAATTTTTTGGTCAAAATTTATCAAAAGGGTGCCTAAAAACGCTTTTTTGGCCTGTATTTTTTTGAAAAATTTGCCTGCGCAACAAATTTTTTTTGACAAAACAGGGTCTTTATATTATTAACGGAGAGCTCGAAAAAACTAATTAGTCGATCTTAAAAATGTGAAAATTTCTGCGCATGCCACTGGATCAAAACGCATAACTTAAGATCAATCTTAAGACTTCAGATCAAGATGTACAAACACTTATTTTGGGCTAAATTACACTATATCTAAGGAGTCAACTGACGAACAAGTTATATCAAAATTAGCCTTTTCAAAAAAAAGTGTAGCAACCGTTGAATCTCCACCCCTAAATGACATGCTGTAGAACGTCCTCCCCACGCAGGTAATAATTCTGAAAGTAACCCTGACATTTTAATCATTTTTCGATAATGAAACATCTTATGTAGGTGTTCTCTACAAGGAGCGAGATCGAAGTTCGCTCCTTTTATTATTTGAGCATTTTATTTTTGTAAATAAGGAATTCAGCCAAGTTTTTACAGCTTTTAAACATTTTTTTTACTTACGGCGATAACTGCTTTACAGCTATTTAAAAAAGTGGGCTCTATTCCAACAAAGTACTTGGTAGGAAAGCATTCAATAACAAAATACAAATTAATTTGAACAAATCATGGTTTCGATAATTGCAGTACAATTTTTTGATGAAAGAAATAACTGCGCGTTATAAAAAATTGTCATTCTGTGCAAGAATTTGGAAATAGGCTTTTTGAAAAATTGATTTAAGTATTTTTTCATACTCTTTTCTTTTCCAATTTTCTTCTCTATTGAAAACAAAAGTGATTTTTAAGCCCAAACTTTTTGTTTCAAGGATATACACGCTTGGGTGAGTTTTCCTGTTAATTCAGACGCTTGAGTTATCAGGGAGTCGAGTCCGCCCGTAAAATTTGCCCTTACTTCAGGATCCCCTACCTAAATCCGCACGTGATTCAGACGAGTTTTCAAAAGAAAATTTGAGAGTGAGGATCAAAATTTAAATGTACGTATTCAAAGTGGGAGTAGTACACTCTATCCATATGCGATTTAAACCTAAGTAGATGAAATCTTCAAAATGTTAAGCGAACGAAGATTTTAGCTATGATGCTGAATGCGTAACAGAATTTTTTATCCATCACAAAACCTTTTTCCGATTTGAAATCAAGTAATCTAATTGGTCATATCATTTCCTTAATTAACTCAAACTTTTACATTTGATAATTGACATTGACAGTTCACTTTTTTCTTTGCCAAACACCAATTAAAGGGCAGTCGGAGCATTCAAAGATTTTTCTTGATTTACGAGCAGTCATGTAGCTGTATAAGATTAAAAAAAAATTGCTGGTATCAGGAAAAACCCTAGAATGCTCCGAATGCCCTTCAATTGGTCTCGTATAGTTTATGGTAATTTAAATATTAGTAAAGTTATGAATTTTAGGCTGATAATATCAAAAATTAGGTTTAGCAATTTGAGTCGTGTACGGAAATAATAAAACGAATGATGACCGGCAAATAGAGCGACAGTCGTTAAGGTGACAACCGTTTTTGTCGGGACTTTTAGATGACAAAACACATTTCTGAGAAACTGGCAACGCGAAATGATTGTTGTAACAGTCGGAATACATTTCTCAGATACACAAAATGCAAAATGATTGTTTTAAAACATTTCTGAGAAACCCAAAACGGAAATTTTGACAATTAAACACGCATCAACCATTATTAAAATTACCATAACTATTATCGAAAATCTTGTATTTAAGTGGTTCGATATCTGCAGAAACTTATTGGGATGGCATTGCTAGTATTTGTAGTAACTTTGGGTGCTAATACATTTTGGTGTTCTAAATGTTCGGTCACTTTTATGCCCTGTCGCCTTATTTTTCTAGCATCAAATCCAATTAGCTGCCGTAATTCAATTTGGAAAGATTTGATACTGCGGGATAAAAAAGTTAAGGCATACTCACTGCAGGTTACCAGTTGTGAGCATATTCGGCTGGCCCCATGTAGATCAAGAAGGATCAGAATTTAGTGAAAGTGGTCCGAATAAAAAACCACCCCAAGCATATAACTCCTCACTTTCTTCGAAGTTCTTATTATAATGATCATGATTAAAGTAATTATTGTTGTCGTAAATACAGTGCTGATTTAAATTAACCGGACAAAACGCGTTAAACTTGAAATTTAAAACGCGTTTTTCTCAGATTGGATTGAGTTTAGGTGAAAGTTTATGAGGACACAACTTGCTTAAAATTTCAGCAGAATTAATATGATGTAATTTGTTTTGCGAAATTCGGGCCCGAAGTTTTAACCCAAAAATGGGTCATTTTGGGTTTTCTTAGTTAATCAAAAATTACACCGAAAATACCCAGTCGATCACAGACATAATTATATCAAAGTGAGCCTCTTACGCAGCCCAACAAACTTTAAGAAGGGTATAATCTCCAAAATATTGTATAAGTTAATTTATTTTTGTTTGATAGACAAAAAAGGTCGTTTTTACTAAATAAAATACCAACTTTTTATTTAAAAACAATTTTTAAACAATTTGCCATTTTTTTGGAGAAAATATTTTTCATAGAGTTTGTTGGGCTGCGTAAGGGGCTCACTTTGATATAATTATGTCTGTGATCGACTGGGTATTTTCGGTGTAATTTTTGATTAACTACGAAAAGCCAAAATGACCCATTTTTGGGTTAAAACTTCGGGCCCGAATTTC